CCGCTCTCCCGGGCAGAGCCAGCGGGGGATCCGAGGAGAAGGGAAGGAAGCACCTTAGCCGCTGGGGGGGAGGGGGCGGGGGACGGAGCCGCTGTAACCACGGAGCCAGCAGCATGTGCGGTGAGGAGAGAGAGAGCCGCCGGCTGTCAGATCCAGGCCGAGTGGCTCTCTCTCTCCTCACTGCTCGGCATGCTGCTGTGATAGCGGCTTCGTCCCCCGCCGCCAACTGCAGCTTCACTTTTTCTGCATACAGATGGGGGAGAGCAGCGGGGATCCAGAGAAGACAGGACATCGCGATCACTGGTAGATCGCGATCGACCTTATGGGCACCCCTGCTCTACATTGATGGATTGGTTGATTCAATACCTGGAGCCACACAATTTTGGCTTCTATACAGCCCATACTTCCATGCATGTATGGAGGTATGCAGGAAGCATGTGTTAACACATCATTTCCATCCAACGTGATGCTAATATGTCCTTTTTAATGTTTCTCTATACATGGGTATCCTTATGTTTGAACGGTGAGATAAAGTAAGTAGCTTGTTGCTGGGAGGATCCCCGATGGTCGTTCTTCAAGCATAGGTTATATTTGCAAACCTGCTTTATTTGTGGTCATATATTAAATAGAAGTCTACACAAATTTGAGATCTCATGGTTGTGTCTAAAACATGTAAAAAAGCGGGGACTGACTATTGGGCTTCACCTATAACTAAAATATGCCTTTTCCGTGAACTAACTCCCTAAATGAGAAAATATTATAAAACTGTGTTATACTATACATATCAGTAATGTGTTCCAGGTACAGGGCTGCTTAACAACACCGTTGTGGTTTACAAATGATTTAGTGCATGATGGAGTGAATACTAATGGAATATTGCAATTTTCACAGTTTTAGCTATCCTCAAATCATCATAAAAATATATTGACCAGCTTGTACAGATTGATATCATACTAGCATGACATTATACTGTATTTTGTTGTGTGTTATAATATCCCCTATTTATTAATGGAGTACATGTTTTCCTGTCCTATCCAAGTAATCAACAGGAATCTGATGAGTCTGCAGGAAGCTCCTTTGTTTTCACAGTTCCTACTGAAACTCGTTGCTCGTATAGGACTGATTGTTATAAAAACAACTGCTAGTACATGCTGACGAATGCACAATTTACATCACTTCAGTACATTTCTTATGCAATGGCTGGATTTGTCCTGAGATGTTCTGCTAGCAATTTTATGGAAACCCATCATATGAGAAATTATGTACAAAAAGAAGCAATTAATGCCATTGTAATACAAACGATACCATTAATGCTGGAATTGCATTTAAAGCAAACACCCCAAAAATACTACAGTAACTATTAATTCAATGCTTATTCTATCCTAAGCAAATATGATATTGTGAACCATGAGGCACAATTAAAATGCTGAAATAAAATGCATGGAGTATGCAAGGCACCTACTACACCCAGACAGACATATTGAGGCAGAACAAAAACTGATCACAACATCTAGAAGATGTCCTGCAAAATAGTCACAAATATACACAGAGAAAACACTCAGGACATAAATATACATGTAGCTGGGCTGCCATCCTTATCCTTGCAACACTACTTCACTTCACTAAATTCACTGTATAACATGGCCCCACATTCTCATCAAGCACACTTTGATATGGGGCAGAATGATGATTGTAAGCTGTCCCTAAGGCCCTAAAGCAGCAAAGCAACCCCCCTAACCACAACATTTTTACCATCATGCTTTTCAGTTGGTATGAGGTTTTTTTCTTGAAATGCTGTCTTCATTTTGCACCAACTTTTCTACTGTTACTGATCAAGCAACTCTTAATTCATCAGTCCACAACACATTGTTCCAAAAGGTCTGGTCTTTGCCTATATGTACAGGTGCAAACTGTAGTCTTTCACTAAAGTTCTTTTTGGAGAGCAAGGGCTTTTTTTCTCGTACAGCTTGATCATGGTCACTACATGGCGTTTCCCAGTTTGAATGGGGTGTGTTGTTGTAATGCATTATGGCTACTAGATGGAGCTGAGAAGCATAGGATAGAAAAACCTATTTTCTATGCTCCTCAGCTCTGTCTAGTAGCCATAATGTATTATAACAACAACACTACATTCAAACTTTGAAACTACATTTAGCGGCCAAAATGTATTACAGGTATTCCTCACTTAACGACCGAGTTCGGTTCCTACGACCAGGTCGAATTGGTCGTTAAGTGAGGAACTCTATACAGTACTGTACTGCATTAGTACAGTACTGTATAGTGTTGTAGATGTACAGTACTGAACAGTGTACTGTACATCGGGCAATAAAATACTTACCGGGACCCGCAGTGAAGTACGAAGGACATCACTTCGAGACGTCGCACTGACGCTGACACGCAAGGTCGCAAGTGCGAGTGGTCGCAAAGCAGGTAAGTCGGTAAGCGAGGAATGATTGTGTTAAATAGTACAGCGCTAAACGTCATTCAGTGATGGAAACACGAAGATCAAACTATTATGGTCCCAGCATGAGGCATTCATCAGAAAATATAATTAGCTATCAAAAAGTGTCAATAACATCTATACAAATGAAGTGAAGGTAAGCGAGGAATGTCTGTATTACAAAACTGCATTAGCACTGGGAAAAATATATTAAGAATAGTCATATTTGGCATTATTTGCCCAAAAACTAACATTCACAGATATACGCAGGGTGAAGTGCCCTGCAAATTTTGTTATAAATGCACCCCAAAGTTTTGGAAGAGATACCTGCAGATCTTGCTAATAAATTTTTGCGCTTGTGGAGACTTCTTTTAGCATCGAAGAGACAGTGCTGGATAAATTAGCAGTTGTTTGAAATCTACACCACTTGTAGATTATGTTATTTACAGTGAAATGATTGATTTCTTTTAGATTTGATTAAGTTTTACATTAGAAAAGTAACAAAAGTAGATGAGAACAACAAAAGGAACATATGGTAGTTTAGAAATATCAGCCGAAATGACAAGCATACGAAAATAACACAATTAAGATTAATGAAATACAGCATGAATCATAGAATAGCAATGGAAGAAAGCTGAAAACTCAAAAAGCCGGCCTCCGTACAATGTAGAGGAAAGGACCAATTAGCTATACACAAATCCAAAAAGAAAATGGGAGAAAACTCCCCCCCTCAAAACCAAAATGAAGGCACATGATATAAGGATAGCAGGCTGAACCAGAAATAAACGAAAACACATTCAAACAAGAGAGCAAGAAGAGAGAAAAAAAAAAAATTAGACACTCACTATAAGAAAGAAAAAAGTAAGAGAGAGAATGAGAGGGGGGTAAGAAGCAGAGGACGCCGTCCCAAGCGAGGCCCCACCTGTGAAAACTGCAAATTTAAAAGTTCAATAAAGAATGATCAAACCCAGGCAAGGGAAGGTATTGCACCCAGGGAGACCATGTTTTCAAAAATGACATGACAGGACAAATCCGGATTTAATTATGAGAATAATTACACTTAGTTTCAAGTGCCATCTGTAGGTGCCATCTGTTAGAATGAGGAGGTAATGTTGGCCTGTTCAAATTTGTTAAAGTGACACTAAACTCAGAAGTTAAACCTTAAAGATGCATTCAAGTGCCCTAACTATTAATAAAAATGTATCTTATTTGTGTATCACTCGGCTGTAGATCCTGAAATCCTCTCTGAATTGGTGCCGACACTATCCCTGCTTCTGGAGGGTGGCTACTTTTGTTCCCCATGGTCCCTGTGTGTGTGTTGTAAAGTAGCCACCGCTCTAAGCTCGCTCCCGTAATGGACTACAATCTCATGTTTAGTTAGATAATTTGTATTGAGATTGTAGTCTATCACAGGAGCTTGGTGTGGTGGCTACTTTACAACACACACAGGGACCATAGGGAAGAATCATTGGCACTCTGTACTCATAGCATATCTAGTCTTTCAGGTTAAAAGGCAATGAGTGTCATCCAACCTAAAAAAAGTGGAGAACATCTGGTGGCGGAATAGAATTACTGCGGGGGACAACACTAGAAAGAAGAGTTTGGCAGCCAGAACTGATGTATTTATTTTAACAATAAGAGTTAGGCTTTGAGGCAGGCTTGCTTCAAAAGGACCAGCAGAAAGGCACACGCTGACTATGGGATAGTGGAAAGGTGTTGTGTTTTGCTCTAGGTGTTCGAAGATGTGCAATAAGTGCTGCTTGCAGTGACTAAATATTATCAGGCCAGTACACGCTTTATTCAATCGTGCCAAGCCCTGATGAAGAAGGAAAGCCTTTGAACCCTCGAAACATGCATTTTATTTTATGATGCGAGAGTCTGAATAGAATTGAATCTTGATTTAATTTCTGGTTTTAGATTTTTATTTCTGTACCTGTTGCAGATTTCACTCACTTTCTGTCTTGTGAAACTTTGTCAGCAGGACAGGAAGTAAGGGGAAATTTAACAGTCCCCGCGATTGCAGTAACCTGACTGGAGTTCTAATCCTTCCCACTCTATCCAAAACTAGAAAAAAATGTCAAGCCAAAAAAAACAAACTAGAAAAGAGTTTTTTGGCTTTAAATACACTTTAATGAATAAATGTCATCCAGTTGAAGTTTAGATCTTCTTTAATTTTTAAAGTGTCCTCTAAAAAATAAAATGTCTTATAGTCATGCACTTCAATCAACCAAGTCAAATGACAAGCTTGATTCACTGTCAGCAGCTTCTCTGTCTCAGGACCACATTGCTTATTTAGGATATCCTGCTATTGAGTGGTTTAGAAATGTCCCTCTTAAGTCAAATAGTGAAAAATTGCATGTTTTCCTGTGACTGGCAGATATCACATGCTTGGCTGTTTTACACTATACAGGAAGGAGAGGTGGGCCTGAGAATTGGGGGAAATTATTTAAAGGCACAACCAACTCATAATGATGCAGTGCAGGGTCACACTACTGGAAATGTTGTTTTAATTGTTTTTATTTTTTCTTTACATTATGCTCAATTTACAATAATTTTGATCATGAAGAAAAGCACAGCTATTCCTCTTATTGTTCTCTTGTCTCTTGTTTGTTTTCTCACGATCTCAGCAGACTCCATAGCAAATAAGGTAAGAGATATTGTTTGTTCCATATATTGTGCTTTTGCAGTGGGTGGTCTCCACCAATTATATATATCTACAGGTGCTTTGTGCTACAGTAGTTAACATGTTATGCTGTTGTTCGAGTAACTGATCACTGCTGATAAACAGCTTGTGATTGATGATACTACGGGCACATGTACATAGCTTGAAGACTCAGAGGTGAGTCAAATGCAGTATGCTTTCAGGTAATTTTGAGTTGCTTTGACTTGCTTCAATTTTCTTTTCAGTTGCTGAAGAAGTCAAATTGCTTCTGAGTTGAAATGCACAGTACAGATGCAAACATAAGTCATTTGCTATTTGTGTATACAGTACTTGGTGTACTGCTTTATATTGCCTCTTCTGTAAGCATTTTAAATACTTTTTTCATTGGAAGTGATTTGATAGCATAGCTATATTTATTGATGGAATTATTCACCAGCAGCATGCCTTCTTATACAATGGTATCCTGATAGAATCAAATAGGTTGATATGTATTGATAAATCCTACCCAAAAGCGCAATACAATAATGTCAGCTAATGTATAAAATAACCAATGTTTAAAAATCAGTCAAGTATCCCTTACTGGTTTCAACTAAATTTCTGATAAAGAATATCTGTTGGTTTTCTGGTGCCAGTTGATGTAGATGACAGGTATTAGAACTGTGCTATAGACTCTGTGCACACCACCATAAACAGAACTCCGGGGTGCTCCCAAACACGTTGAGAATGATTACCTAAAATGTAAAGTAACTGGCATTCATTTGAAAGGTCCATTCACGGACAAAAGAAACTCATTTTCTTTAACTCCTCTGTACATTATAGGATGTCTGTGTCCATTTTACCTTACTTTAGCAAATAAGGTACATAAAAATGTATGGAGCTAAGCATCTCAATGCACTCAGGTGTTCAGTGGAGCATACCAATAAAATGTACACAGCTGGTCGGACCTGACCTTGATTAACACTACAGTTGTATCCAGCTTTACTGTTCCTCCAGACATTTTCTAGTGAGAGGAGTTCTTACATAGGCCATAGACCTTTACCTGTATCTAGTACCCATGTGAACATATAGAGAGAAGTATGGTCTCCTGACATTCCTGACCTTTTAAAAAAGCTAGTTGCCTGGTTATTGTGCTGACCTTCTGATTTTATTACTTTGAGCCACTGAAGTAGCAAAAAGTCAGAAGTTCTTACTGCATGCTTGTTTCCAGTTTGTTTATAAATACTGAAGCAAGAGAGATAGGGCTTCATTTCTAAAACTTATAACATTTATGAGTATAGGAATTTCCTATACTTGTCAGCATTATCTCCCTCCTAGAGTTAACATGCATTTAACCCTTCCAATGTGGGGGACCACACTTCAAGCTTTTTTCAGCTTTAATGTTCTTATTACTTAACACCAGATACTCTAAAGATTAATCTAGTGTATGTATTGTCTTACAGATTTAATTATTTCATATATACTGTATGCCTGGAGTGGTATTGTGCAGTGCATGAGTACAAAATGTATTGTGAGGCTCGGGTTAACTACGCATGGTACTATGATAAGCTTTATATTAAAAAAAGATTTAAATACATAATATACTTAATATGTTAAATGAAGGAGGTTATCAAAAAGTTACAGAATCTATGGCTATGGATCCCAGAATGGGTCCCCAGGACATCAAGCCCAACGATAATTCTTTTGAATACCCACAAGCACAGTACCATCCTTACCCCTAGGTGTGTTATACCTCTACACCATAAAACACTGCAGTTTAGCAGAGGAAAACAAGTACTGTATCTACATTTCTTTTTTCTTGAAACAACTTTTTTTAGGCTATACATTTCTTTGACTGTTATAATGTATATAGTCCATATTTGTACTCTAAAGGCTGTGTTACTGCAGTCAATATTGCACACATATTTCTACGACAATGTTGCCTCTTCAAATTTGACAACAGTAAATATATTTTAGCAGCAAATAAGGATTTAATATAAAAACCACTATCTTCTTTCAATATCAGTATTATGGTATTCCTCCTTAGCGTGGCCCATTTAAAGGCCCATTCTTGATTTCCATGTGTACATGTTCCTCAGGCTCCATTCAGCCATAAACCTAGACACCACCCTCTCTCCCTAATTGTGTTTGAGGTTTGTAGCAATGGTCACTTACCTTTCTGGCCCTTTTCATAATTGAGGTCCTCTCTTGCAAACTACTTCAGTATAACTGTCTACAGACAAAAGGGTTAATATAGCTAAAATTGGGTCCAATATAGCTATAAAAAAAAAACAGCCAGGTCATGAAACAAGCCTGTGCCTCATCTACATATAGCCAGGCCAGTTTTTGTGCAGGAATATGATTGACTGGAGTCTGGATAGGTTTATTAAGCCTTATCCTATTAAGACTGCTCCGTCACAGGTAAGCTGGTGCCAGAGATGCCTGTTCTTGACTCCCTTCTCTTCCTCCCTTCTCTTATGCACACTTTAACTTGTACACTCATCATAGTTGAGCATACATGCTTTCACTACCAAATGTCCTAGAGTGAAGAAAATATATCCTGAAATGAATAATTGTCTATAGCTAAAATGTATAAACTTAAACTTAAAACTATAGGGTCTATTTATAAAAAAAATTGCATGGCTTATTTATCCAGCGAAACTGCATGTGCATTCGTTCTGTGTGAGTTAACCAGCTGTTGTGACAATTGGGAAATAATTAATTTTCTTCATGTGATTTCTCTTCTGATCAAATTATGTTTTATGGGGGGAAATACCACATTATGGCCACTTGCTGGAGATGAGGATCATAGGAAATAAATACATGTTAGTAAGGAGATACACAGGGCTATTCACAAAAGGGTGAAGAGTTTGGAGAAGGCAGGAGAAGGGAACAATCTAGGACAACATAGCTGATTTGGAATAATTCTCCAATTCAGCTCACTTTCCAGTTCAGCTATGCTGTCCTAGATTGTTCACTTCTCCTGCGTTCTCCAAACTCTTCACCCTTTTGTGAATAACCCTGACAATGTTACAACTCAAGAGACCACTGGAAGGAATGGGCATATGTAACCATTACTATCCCTGTAATGTCAATGGTTACATTATATGATCTTTCCCTTCAGCGTTCTCTTTAATTGTGAGTGAGTTATAAACTGGATGGGGTAGACATAGTATATCTGGACTTTGCAAAGGCTTTTCGATTACAGTACCCCACAAAATATTAAAGGAGAACTATGGGGTAAGTGTTTTTCCCCATAGTTCTCCTAAGGGTCACGGGAGGACATAAACTAGCGTCCTCCCGTGACCCAAAGCTCAGTATACCGCTAGCTGTATACTGAGACGCCGCAGCCAGGACGAACCTCGACAATACTGTTGAGATCCACCCAGCTGCGTGATTGACAGCTGGCTCTGCCTATCTAGAGGCAGAGGCAGCTGTACCCGCACCCTCCCCCGTCTGTTCTGCCAGTCAGCGCTGGAGGATTGGAGCAGGGAGGGGGGGGATCCCTGCAGGGAGTCGTGAGTGACAGTCACGGCTCTCTGCAGGGACATGATCGAGAAGTGAGCGAGCGATGGTATGTGTTTGCTCACTTCCCTATCTATTGAGCCGACGTGTGACAGTTTAATTGTCACACATCGGCTCGAACTATGAGGTTGAGTGAAAATCATTCACTCCATAGTTCTCCTTTAATTTACAAACTAAGGTCTATTGCTATTGAAGGAAATGTATGCACATGGGTAGAGAACTGGTTGCAGGAATGTATCCAGAAGGCAGTGATAAACAGCTCATTTTCTAATTGGTCCAAATTCTGTTTATTCAATTAATAAATGATACAGAGGTGGGAATAAATAGCTCACTTCAGTGTTTGCTGAAAATACAAAGTTATGTGGGGTAATAAGTTTACAACAAGACATAGAATCACTACAGCAGGACCTCGATAAATCTGAGCGGGCAGCAATGTGACAGATTAATTTATGTCTAGGGAAATGTAAAGTGATGCACTTGGGAGCTAAGAACGTGCAGACTAGGGGAACTTATAGACCAAAGACTCAACAGTAGTAGGCAATGTGAAGCTGCAGATAACAAAGTGAGTAGAATATTATCTTGTTTTAAAAAAGGGATTTACTCCTTTTATAAACCATTGGTTCAGCCACATCTTACGTGGTTCAGTTATAGTCACCAATCCTCAGGAGGGATGTCCTTGAGCTATAGAAAATTCAAAGAAGGGCAACTAAATTAATAAGGTAGATGGAGGGCCTATGTTATCAAGATTGACTACAAAAATGTATTTGTTCTCCTTGGAGAAGAGACGCCTAAGGGATGACATCATTACTATCTACAAACTTATCAATTGGGTCAGCAGCATTTGAGGAAGACGCAAGGGCACAATAAGAAATTGGAGGGGATGCAGTAAAATCTCAGACTGCGCAAGCGTTTTTTTACTGTGAGGGAGGTAAACATTTGGAATTCGCTTTCGCAGATAGCTGTATCAGCAGAAAACATTACCGGCTTTAAAAGACACTTGGATGAGTTACTCAGTTTACAGAATATACAGGGTTATGCAATTGCTAGCATTATGCACACACACACACACACACACACACACATATATACACCTCACCTACTATGTAACTATGTTCTATTTAACATTGTATCTCCTTACTAACATGTATTTATTTGCTATGATCCCCAGCTCCATCTAATGGCCATGATGCAGTATTTTCCCCATTCACTCTGCTCTGTATCAATATAACTATTAAAGAGAAATGACACTAAGAACATTGGTTTTGCCCCATTCTCACAGCAGCTGGTTAACTCACTTAGAATTAATGTACATGCAAATAAGCAATGCTATTTTATAAATAAACCTTTTTGTATTTATACCATGTATAAATCATTGATAAATAGAAATTGCTCTGTATACATGCCTAATATTTGTTTTTTACTTGCTCCAGGTAAAAAACAGGTGTGATGAAAAGAACCTTCTTACAACAAACACAGAGTGTATGTCATGTGCCTTAAATGTTGCTGTAAACTGTTCTGAAGGTCACATAAAAATCAGCCGTGGGAGTGGAATAAGAGACTGTCGGTAATGTATTTTATCTATGTGGATTACTGATTATTGCTAATTATTGGCCATCAGCCATTGCTCTGAAAATAAACTGCTAAAAGATCATTATAAAATAATCTACAAATGTTTACTTGCCACATGATTTGTACTTCTGTTTAGATAATCTTGTGATCCCGGCACCCCAACTCCTACCTGGATGTTTTACAGAATAACCTGCAGTTGAGCAATACAGCCTGCCTTGTGATCTGTCATGAGATACACATTGATGCTGTAATTGCAGGCTGCCTCCTGAAAATACTTGTTACCTGGTTGTATCTGGCTTTAGGGCCCATTCACACCAGACCTAAAACATAAGTCAGTGGAAGTCTGTTTACTTGCAATGTCAACCTCCGTTGACATCCTTTCCATTCCTTTTTTTTCTCTAACCTTTATTTTAATTAACATGTCCTAAATAGACAAACTTGTATGCATTTTTTTAGTTTACTTCTGTTCCGTTGCGTTGCCTTCTGTTTTGGACACGTTAGTTATGTTGTGCTGAAAAAAAAGTAGAGCAAGCTGTACTTTTTTTTACAGCACACTGCAATGTGAACTGCTGCTTACAGATGCAGCCGCTGTCACCCGGTCATTAAATTGAACAGGTGACAGCGGCCGCATCTAAATGGGAGATGTGGAATACCTGCTGTAGGAATCCCAAATCGCATAGTGTGAATGAAGCCTTAGTGTTTTCACTCTGGGGACATACTTTTATTCTTTGCCTTGGAGTGGTGGGGACAATAAAGGTTTTCTGTTGTTGTGATTTACATGTTTTTGACAAATTTAGCAGCAAAAGGTAGGGGGCACAGGCTATATATTTTGAGGATTTTTATGAATAGGCCTGTTTAAAGCTACAGTTAAATCTGCCTACAATACATTTGCCTTCCCTGGTTCCTCCTTTATACCTTTCATCAACATGCTAATGACATTAAAAAAGAAAAAAAAAACAGTTTGGTTGTAATAACACACCTTTTATTTTTTAGCTTAAGTAATGTAATCACTGGCTCGCTCTGCTTCTCTATGCAAGCAGGCAGATCATGACTGGTGGGAGGAGCCAGCAGGGTGTTGTACATGGTTTCCTGAGAACCTCACGGCATCCGGCCTCAATACCTCTCTCAGGAGCTCCAAGCCATTCTACAAGCAGTGGGCTGGCTCTTGGAGGAGTTATGAAAACATCACAATTACTTGGTGGTTGTCAATCAGGAAGAGTCAGCGTTCCTAGGCAGACTGCATTTGCACACAGACTTCACTAGAAAACACTCACATGTGATTCAGAGCCCCCACAATTGAAATAACAAAAATCCAATATATTTAAGGGACGGGCCAGGTATAGCAAGGCTGGGGAAGAAAGTGCTATATGATGCTAGACTTCCTCTAGCCTGTAAATGAGTCAAGCTCTATCTGGCTCGCTGCAGCTTCTAATGCATTCTATGAGAAGCTCACAGTTTGCAGTGAATCAAAATAAGCAAATTTAGTACCGGAGAGGTGCAGTACAACTGTGCAAGACTAAAGGTAAGGCTAGAGTTCACAAAAAATGTGCTTTCTTTATACCACGGAAAGTTTTTTTTGGACAGACTTGCTCAGGGTTAATGCCTTAAAAAAAACTTAGCAGGGATAACTGACATTTGTAAAAACCTGAAAGTCTAAACTTAAAGCTCAACTTTACTCATCTTTCAAAATCAATCATGCAGCACACTCTCATACACAATGCAAAGGGTTAAATGATCATTCATTCTAGAGAGATTGGAACAAACACAATACTGAATCCTATTCCTTCTCACTACAGCAGCCGACACTCTTCTCCACTCTCTGACACTCACACAACAGTTGCCTGGAGTGAGGCTTTGAACTGATATAACAGTGAAGCATTGCTTCGCATGTATTGCTATGTGCCCTGTTATTCACTGTTAGTAATAAATATAAAAAACACTTTCTCTGGGCAGCTAAAGAAGGGTATAGCTGACAACTATCAAAGGGGTTCTTTTTCTTTTAAGTAATCCTCACAGCACATTTTGTAATGTAATGTATATATGAGCATGGAGCAGCAGTAAGGGCAGCCTCTGTGGGGAGAATACAACTAAATAACACTACAATAACACATCAAGAGTGAAGATTCAGGTTATTTGTAACTAGTCTTTCTTTATGATTAAAGATTTGTGGTTGCTTCTTCTAGGTATTTCCTGGATATACGTGCATATTCTCTCTCACTTCTTGGATGTCGACATTTATGTACAAAAGTAGAACGCCAGCCAGTGTGTTGCCCTGGGTACTGGGGGCCTGACTGTATGGGTAAGTGTTCAAAAGCTACTCATACTACCTAAAAGTATTGTTTGATGTATAATTAGAGCCTAAACATGTATGTGGGTGTTACACAGATTTGAAATGTATAATTATGATGTATAATTAAGATGAAGATGTGACTAAAACCAAGACCTCATCGTATATCATTAAGAAATAGCTTTATCTGCTGCAGATACGTACATTGAATTAAAGACTGAAGAAACGTCTCAGTACGGTACACTTCGGTACATTGCCTGCCTGCGGCTGCACTTCGTTCAGCCAAACATGCTCTGTATGTTCGGCTGAACCGAAGTGCAGAAGGACCTCGACTCAGCCGATTCAACATCTGGATCGGCTGAGCCGAAGCTCCGGCAGCTCACTAGCTGCCGTTCTCCCCTATTCACATAGGGGCCGTCTCAGCTAATCTTTTCGGTACCTCCGTGGTACCAAGCAGAATAGCAAATCAATGAAAAGAGTAAAAAAAGAAAAATATTTTTAAAAAATGTAAATAAATATAAAATTTTTAAATAAATAAAGATTTAAAAAAAAAATATTAATTTAAAAAAACCAATTGGGCAGAGATAGCAGTGACAGCTCGGCCGCCTACGGTTGTTGTACGGGATATTGTGAATAGACCGTACAGCAGCCCTTCGGTTTAACTGAACAGAAGGGCTCCGGTGGCCGAAGAGAGCCGAAGGATCAGCCGAAGCTACGGCTGGATCCTTAGGCTCCTCTGTGAATAGCCCCTATAGTTTTTAGTTAGCATTAATGGGATTATCTGTCTCAAATTAGGCATGTTTTACAAACAGGGAATTTGAAGGTAATAGTTGTTATTTTGTCCGTTCCATATTATGCCTACCAATGCGTCGGATTATTACACTTATTTGAATCTACCCAGAAATTAACTGTTGTGGCTGCTTTATAATTTAAATATATTTCTTCCTTTAAACAAGAAGTGGGTCCTAGGTCCAATAATATTTGTGTAGTAGAACAAAGATGTACATTTTTATCGTAGCCAGTAGTGAAAGATTTGCGCCATTGCTCTGTGTGCCATTATATTATTAGGTGCTAGCTGCAGTATCATGTTTTACCTGGACTACTAATCTGATTATAATAGCCCTAGCAAGGGGCTTAGGAAACATATTGCATCAAATCAGTTATTCAAATCATCGATGAAATTAAAATCTCTCTTGCAGATCTAGGGTTCCCTGGTTCAAATCCCACTCAGGACACCATCTGAATGGAGTTTGCATGTTCTCCCTGTGCTTGAGTGGGTTTCCTCCCAGTGTTCGGGTTTCCCCCCACACTCCAAAGACATGCAGGAAGATCAATTGGCTCCTGTCTAAATTGGCCCTTTATGCATATGAGATAGGGACCTTAGATTGTAAGCTCCTTGACCGCAGGTACTGATGTGAATGCGTAGTATGTGATCAGCTGGGTAAATTCTCGATGCTATATAAATATGTAATAAAGTGCCAAGTAACAGAAACCAGGCATCAGTAAATTCAGGGGTGTAGGTGTAAATTCTAATCCAAGAGATGAGGGTTTTAAAGGCATAATTCATTTTCTTCAAAAAGTGGGCCACTGACTCTGACCTATGAAATCACAGAAGGGTCTTACCTTTGGCACATTGTAAATTGTAGCATCACAACAATAGCTAAAGGTGTCCATAACATTGACAGGATTTGAACTCTCAGCTAAGGTCCAAATGATATTTTGATTGAGAATTGCTGTGAAGCAGTGTCTATAATCACCCATTGACATTGGAGGTAAATTAATAAAAAGTATGTAGGGCAAGTTTTATCTCAACCGGTGCGGTTACCCAACAAATCAGCTTCCATCTTTAATTTTTTTACATCACTCAGAAAATGAAAATTTCAAAGCAGATTGACTGCACTCCAGCTGAGATAAAGTTTGTTGCTTTTTATTCATTCTCCCTCATGTCATCATCTAGTTGGGCAGCTGTCATCTTGTATTTCTGGGTACTTCATCTCTGGATAATGCTTATACCTGCATGAGTGAAATCTGATATCAGCACCCCATCTCACTAGCTACTGACATCTACCTTCATCTTAGTATTGGATACCTTCTATGTTCATATACTGTATGTCCTTGGTACAGCCAGACTCCTGAAACTCAGACTCCTGAAACTCAGACTCCCTCTTGCAAACAAAACTGCATTTGATGTCAGCAAGTCTCCCTTTTCTCCCCAATTCACGGTCAATTTTGCTACTTTATTTTAAAGGGAGCCATATTTTAGGTGATAAGTAAATAATTATTGAAGACATTAAATAGTGTTGATGTATCATGTGATAAATAAGCAATGTGAAAAAAAACTTGTTACTGTATGGCAAACATATGGGCAGCACAGTGGTTCAGTGGTTAGCATGTCTGCCTTGCAGTACTGGGTTCCTTGGTTTGAATACTGTCCTGGGTTGAGTTTGAGTCTGTCCTTGATTGTCCTGCATTGAGTTTGTATATTCTCCCTCTGCTTTAGTGTGTTTCCTCCTACACCCAAAGACATGCTGCTAGGTTAATTGGCTCCTGTTTGAATTAGTCCTAGCATGTGTGCATATGAGGTATAGACCTTAGATCGCTTCTCAGCCTTTTGGCTAAGATCAAGTGTAGTATCTGTTCTTATCAGTGGCAGGAGGGGAAAGAAGCCGCTGTACAGGCCTTTTGGCTAGTATGGCTGGAATTCGAGTACCCTGCCTGTTGACGGGGTTCCTAAAAGGCTCGGCAATGGGGAGGAAACCGAATTTAACGTCCACTCACGTATAGAGTGGGGGTTGGGAGTACTCCTCGGCGCTGAGTTCTGGCAGGGCACAGTACCTACTGGTTTGAACGGAGCTGCACTGGTCTGGCCATGGGCTGGGAAGGCACTAAGCCCGTGGTGTTAACGCCCCCTGGAGTGGTGACCCAGGGGTGCTCTAGTAGCACAAGTGCGTGTGGGACCCCACAAGTGTGAACAACACTTTGGCACGACACCTTTTGCTTTTTGCCGCACAACGCCTCTTAGACTAGGCCTTTTGGCTAAGACCAGGGGTAATTTTTAATTACTGGGCCGCAAGGCCTAGCCATTGCATCCACTTTGGCACTCTAAATTATTTTTCTCACTGTTTGTGCACCTTTACCCTTTTTCTAATGTGTTTTTTCACTCCACAGGACGGAGGGTGTGGGTCTTCAGGCCTACTTTGAAGTCTAAGGGGAGGATGTGTGGCCCTTAGGTTCCTTCCTCCCCTGAATCAGGGGTGTCCCTCGGGGAGAGCCCTCAACCTAGTACTTGGTGGTCGGCTTCGGCTGACCACGAGGAATGGGTCAACCTAGTTTCGGCCTGGTGGACATGAGTACCTTGACCATGTCAGGAGCCTTGCGCCCCGTGGGTTCAGGGATGAGCCCTATCTCTTCGGGAGACGGAACCTTTAGACAGCACCCTTGCTGTGCACTTTTTTGTGTGTGTACCCATGCACTTTTTTGGTTCACTTTTGTGGGTGTTTCATAAGCATGCTCCATGGGCTTAAAAATATAATTTAAAAAATAGACCTTAGATTGTAAGCAGGGACTGATGTGAATGTACCATACAAAAAAAAAACTTCCATGTAAATGAATGGTGGTACATAAATACCTGCAAAAAATATAGCTTATAGCTGTGTAAGAAGGCATAATTAAAATAAAGCTTGAAAATATGGGGCTGCTATTGCTGACCACTGTCTTTAAATGGTAGTTTTCTCTGACTTCCAACACATTGAGGGTAATCAATCTTAACTGGAGCAGACAGAATCTGGAGCAGTTGCCCATAATATCCAATCAGCATTTATCTTTCATTTTCAATGCTTACCTGAATAAAGTGAAGAGAGAAGCTAATTGGTTACTATGGGCAACCGCTCCAGATTCTGTGTGCTCCAGTTTTGATATATTGATATACTTACCTGCAATACAGATTATGCATTATGCAGATCAGGACAGCCAGAGTAAAGTTAGAAGTCCGTATCTGCATCATTTGACTGGGTCAATGAGTTAGCGTATTGCAACCAGTGGATCTTCCAGGCAACTAACCGTTGCAGAATAAATATTAAGCAATGGCAGCCTCCACATTTGTCTTGGGGAAAGTTACCTATAAAAATAAATGGTTAGAGTAGACAATTCTTTATTCAATTTGAAAGGCCACAGAGGTCTGGCTGACCCCCCCCTTCCTTCACTTACACATCCTGCTTATAAAAGTGAAGGACAGTCTGTGAGAATAAAGCTTGGGACATTGTTAGCGCTGTCAGCTTGGTGAAGAAAAATAGCCTGTGTGCTTATCATAAAAGGATTGTAGGCTAGCTTTGAAAACACCACTGGCAATCAGTTCCTTCCTGTGCCTGAAAAATTAGCTGATTAGCAAAACGTTCAGGTTGTGGAGGTGATGACAAAGTAGATTCATCTGTACCACATATATTTCCTCAGGAGATAGCACTTTTTAACAGTCGGGGACTTGGTGAAAGGCACACTCTCTACAGAACATCACAAAACTCCACTTTAAATTCCAAAGAGCGGAAATGTTTTTGCAGGTAACAGTTGTGGATGTTACATTTTAGATCGGGTCACACAAACATGCTGACACCACTTTACTTCTACAATTAAAATGACACTTAATAAAATTTCTCATTTTAATAGTGATTTGTGTACTTTGAGAATGGAGTTATACACATACCTGGAGCTTCACTGAAAAATTCTCTTAGAAATTGATTTCTCTCATTGACTCCAATACAGTCTGTGTTCATGTCTTGGCAAGTCCCCTTTTAAACAGTGAAGCTTTATAAAAAAAAAAAATGTAAATGGCTTTATATATGCTTTGCCAATGTGTGTTTTATTTTAAAAGTCAACATGTAACGGCCAACTGCAGGCTTTAACCTGCCACACCCCAGAGGAACCCCGCGTCTCCCTTAAGCTGCCCCCTTCCCCGAGTATGTTTTTTTTTCTTTTTTTTTTACCTTTTTCTGATGCCTTCTGGCCCATCATGTGTTTCTGTGGTTCCACTCGATCTTCCATATTTTTCCTGAAGTTGGCAGACCTGGATGATGTAGGGAGCAGCACTGATATAATGACATTAGTGCCACTCTCTGCATCAATACACTCTAAGTGCAGAGTGCTCAGGGGGCATGGTCATGACACCTCACATTCAGTCTTCCAGGTCCAGAGCACTGGGCGTCATTGAACTCGGAAGACTGAGGACATCTTGTGGTAAAGAATAGGCGCTCTAGGGGACAGTCCCTGGGTAAAGGTGAGTATTGCAACCGGAGTTAGCTTTTCTTTACCTTTCTAAAACCTCAGAGGGAACATTGAAAATGTGTAAGTGCAAATTTCATTGGATTTTAGATCTTTCAATCATGGATGCTCTGAGAGGATGTTACATAGGGCAGTCTGCATGCATGCAAACAAAGTCTGCCTAAGAATGGCCATTCCTCCAGACCAGGGGCGTAACTAGAAATCACAGGGCCCCATAGCAAAATGTTGTATGGGGCCCCGTGATTGCTAGTCATGCCACTTGCAGAGCCTCAGCGGAGAGTGACCCTGCAGAGCCCACCATAGACTCTCTATAGTGGGCTCTGCAGGGTCTGAGATCTCTTACCTGTCAGCACCTCTGTGGTCGCCGGGCCCCGACTCCTGTTCCGTCCCCCACCTCCTCTGCTATCGACAGGCACCGCTTTCTCTTACATCACTGGCCCCACCTGCACTTAGGTCGCTGGCCAGTGATGTAAGAGGAGGCGGGCCCCGCCTCCTCCATTCCGGACACCGCCCTCATCTTCCGCAGCGGCTGGCTGTCACTGACACAGCTCAGCAGCGGCTATGAGGGGAAATGTGCCGTGGCCGCTGCTGAGCTGTGTCTGTGACAGCCAGCACCCCTACATGCCATAGCGACCCAGGTGGCCCTGACCGGGCCCCCCTGTGCCCGGGCCCCATAGTGGCCGCCTGGGTCGCTATGGCGATTGTTACGCCACTGCTCCAGACTGATATCCTACCATCATGACATTTTGATATTTGCACAACACCTCCCAAGAGCCAGCCCACTGCTTGTATCAGGGCTGAGGGCTTTTAAGGGGAGTTCTGAGGCAGAGTGCTGTGTGATGTATTCAGGAATTTATGTACAGCACCCTGTATCCTGTATATGACATCACTGGCTCTAAAATAAGGTAATGTAATGAAAACAAAGTTTTTAGTTCAAAACGTTATTACCATGTTGGTGTAAGTGGGGAAAAACAAGACCAGGGAAAACAAAATATAAAGAGATTAAACTTTATCAGATTTAAGTTTTTACACTGATTACTACATCATACGATGAAGAGGAAATAGTGCATGCCAATATTTTGTATGAATTTCCTGACTTTCCATTTCTTACCAACCGCCTTTCTTCTGACATACTCCAGGCAGCGTTATTATGGAAAGAAATCTTTCTTACCTTTGGGACTTATAAGTGAACAATGGCGGTGTCATTGCTCTATTAGTCTTATGGAAACATACCCACTGTGTAAGCATGTTCACTTGTATTGTCAAAACAGCAAACACAAAACATGACAAAAAACTTAGCAAGTATTTTCCTTGTCAGCACTATTTTCTGTGTTGTGTTGTTGTTTTGTTACTTTTAATTAATCAAGTTATACAATTCTTGATTCAGCCTGTCAACACATTTGAATTATTTTGCAGACTTTTCTTCTTTCTTCAAACTTTAATATGCTTATATTAATATGCTTATTATAATATGCTAATATACGTCAAATGCTTCTGTATTTACTATTTGCAAAGTGCACAAGGTATTTAACAATAAGAAAACACAGTAAAAAAAAGTATGTAAATGTCCAAATCCTTTTCACATAAAAGAAGTTATTAATCTGCTTTGGGAATAGGGGACGAATCACAACCAGTTATGTACAATAAGGTCTCAAAGCAAAATGTACCATTCTCTGTAAATGTTTATACTGTACTTCAGGTTACTAGTGAACACAAGGCAAACCGCTAAATATATACTACATGTATGAAAACTGGTTTGCCAATCAAATGATTTATATTTCTGCCCTTGCAGTCCTGAAATATACACATCCCTGCCAGACTGGGTTGATGACCTCATTTTTCTCTACTACAGTTTAGCAATACCGCTTGGTCACACCCATGACCCCAGTTTATGTGAAGGCAGCAGTCTGATGAGCTCTTGCCTTTGCTCACTCTGCTCTCTTTTCCTATCAGCATGTTTTTTTTGTCAGCTCATGCAGTGCAGCACATCTGATTGGCTCTTAGTGTTGCCCCTCCTTCTCCCAGTCTGAATTCTAAAGTATAGGGCATTACAAGAGGCTGATTCCAAGTGAAATTCAGATACTAACAATCGTTGCATTGAAGTATACTGGGCCTTCCCTATAATGAGGCAGCCTAAAACGGCTTGCTTAGATGGCATCTCATTGTGTCACATGGAGGGGTACCTGCTGCCTCCTTTCCAGCCAGAGCAACCCAGGTTGCTAAGAGCTCTTACATCAGTGACATCAGTTATGTGGGAAGGAGACCGGACACAGCCGGTGCCAGAGGTACTGAGCACTGACCCCTACCAGCACCCCACACTCCCCATCCCCAATAACATGCACTTCCAGCAATGGTGTCACAGAAAAAATATAACAGAAAATGTAACTCTACCCCAACTTATACAAAAAGCAGGCAACTGGCATGTTCAGGCAGTCAACAATAACAACCACCTTGTTTTCCTCTGTACAGGTTGGCAGAGCTCATATAAAGTTTCTTCCTTGCACTCATAATAATTTAGTTGCATATGGAATTTGACAAATAACATATACTTTATCTATTTGTTTTGCTACAATTCGTAACATTTTGGTGTCAAACACTTATCCTTCCCTGTATATGAGGGCTCCAACAATATCCAGAATATGTGTAATATAATTAGCTGTGCAATCCTCCCACTATCTTCTTTAACTTAAATAATCAAAATGATATTGCTAATTGTTATTTTACAGAGTGTCCTGGTGGAGTGTCGGCCCCTTGTAGCAGCAGAGGAACGTGCTCCGATGGAATGGGTGGGAATGGGACTTGTACTTGTCCAGTAAGTGTTTTGTGCTTACAATAAGTGAGCACATATTTTGAGTTATTGCAATGATAAAATAATTAAGAGAGTAATTCCCCTACCCCACCTTCCCCCACTAAGTTAAAAAGATGATCTACTACATACTAATATTTACCTTACCAAAGTGCCAAGATAATCCACAGTCTGTTCCTCTGCTGTCCAGTGATTAGATGTGCACAAGCACTCCTACCAGCAATCACACTCCATTCTGATGATGATCAGTGAGAGGGGTGGCAGCAATAAGTCTGGTCAGAAAGCTGGCAAGAAGATCGTCTTTGGTGGACTGGTCATCATGTCCAGAACTGGCTGGAAAGAAGACCTCAGGATTGTGAATTAAAGCAATTATGTCCCTTCTCTAAAAATTTTGAAGAGGTTGCACCCTGTAATAGAAAAGACTGAATAATTACCTCTCCAGCTGGTGGTGAGACCACTCTTTGCTCTTTTGCAGAACTAGCACTTGTGTGTCGAATAGCATGTCTCCTGCAGGGCACCATAGTTTATTCCCACAGGGGGCTTAGTCCTGTAATGATATCTCAGCCAGTGGGAGGACCACAGCACCCAGCAGGGGACACACTATTCAACTTACCCTGAAGTGTCTGATAGCAACAGTGCTTCTAACTCTGCAAGAGAGCAAAAAATGGAGTTGCTGTCCGCAGGGGAGATAAGTATCCATCCATTTATATTACAGGTCGTTTTAGGGTAACTATTATTCATTGTTAGATCATACCCTAGCAAAACATGAATGTGTGGCTCATTCAAATGATCTTGCTTATGTCTTCTTTTTTAATAGCATACCATTAATTGTATAAATAACATTCATTGGCATTGTATTTGAGTACAAATATATGTATGATTTAAACACTAGTAAAGGTATGCACTTTTTTCAACTTTGTTTAGGAAAGATTTGGTGGAACAAGCTGTGAGAAATGCGCAAATGATGACATGTATGGTCCTGACTGCAAATCTGGTATGACTGAGGCACAACTTTGCCCTTGAAAATCCAGTTTACAGTTTTCTCTCTTACAGGTTTAGTTTGTCACTAAGGCAATATGTTTTATTTTTTAATACTCACTATAGTGTATTTCCAGTGAGTGTGCATTTGAGTTATTATTACCAGGAAGTTATTTTTCGCATGGCTATTTCTTTCTTCGCTTGCTGTTAAATATTGTCATAGTAAACAGATTTGTATACTAAAAAATTTGACTACCATCCATGCCTACTGACTACAGATAAGAGCCTGTTTTTTGCAGACAACACAATTAACAGATGAAGTTGAGGGATGCACTGGGAGAAAGATGAAGCGCAGTCATTGTGCAATAGGATTAAGTAGGAATCATAGGCTGCACACTGCATTTATAATAAACAAAAATGACCATCAGTGCTGAAAATATTGACAATAGGCTTGCTAAAGTTTGTTACTCAGTATGTGTGTGTTTTGATAGCCTGACACCCTATGATATTGATAGGTGTAATATTACAATGCTACCACAAGATGACAGTAGATAGAAAGGATTTTTTTATGTGTCGCTTGGGCTGCTACATCGCCATAGATGACACTGAATATTGAAATGTAAAGTCTATAGATAAGTATTAGACAAACTGCTACATTTTAGATAATTCACATTTGATCTCTATTCCTCTAAGGGCTACATTTTAAAAAAGCAACTGATATAAATAAGGAACATGCTGACATTTATTTAAGCTCAGTACATAGTTACAAATGAAGCAAGGTGCAAATGATCGTGCTTTGGTGAAATATTTGGGGACCATTTAAACTAGCACGGCTCTCACACAGGGGAGGACTGGGGACACAATAAAACTAACTTGCCCTTTCATGGTATGGGCAGATCTCACAGAATGTGTGCCATGGTTCGGCATTAAATGGTGGGTACGGTGAAAAGTAAATGTTTCTATAGGACACAGTTTATTGTTACATTTTCACATCTTCCGGCATTAGCTTCCTTTGTGGCATTTGGTCTTGTGACATCTTAGAATGCCATGCTTGTGCTGGAAGGTTTTCTTCTGCCAGATGCTTATATTATAGGTCTTAATGTGGAACAGATAATTGTATAATGTCCAGAAGAGGTTACTGATGGCAGGTCCTGCTTTGATAGATGTTTTAGTGGTGAAGTGTCGTAACTCAGGGCCACCAGTTCAACTTACCTTATTAATACTGACCCAGGAGTCAAATGTTCCCCCGGCCCAGTCTTCCCCTTCACACAGATCTTAAAGTTTGAGCAAAGCATTTTAAGGCTGGTGGAAATGCACATTGTACAGCACTGCATTTTGTTGCATTGCTCTGGGCTGCTTCAAGATTCAGAGCAAGTAAGCATAAGCCCTTAGAGTACTTGTTCTTAAGAATGTTATAAACCATTCAAGATTTCTAGAAAATATCAAGTCTTCCAGAACCAACTGCTAACTTACTTTTTTTCTATTCTTGCTATTTGTGTGTAATTGTGATTATCTAAACTAATATGTTCTTTCTTCACAGTTTGTGATTGTGTACATGGTGTTTGCAGCAGTGGGATTAATGGAGATGGCACGTGCTTGTGTTTATCTGGTTATGGTGGGCCTAAGTGTGACCAGCGTAAGTAAGACTACAGAAGTATATGTCATTTATGTCCAATGTAGGCTTGAACCTGGGTGGTATTAGGCAATACAGTGTCCTTGATTTAGAAGAAATATAAAATTGTAACTTGGTGGGAATGGGAATGTTGATTCAAGAGCTGACAGTCAAACTGAGTAACATTATGTCTTTGCATTTCCACAATGTATTTTTAAGTCCTCAGGCATTTTTGGAACACTATTTCAAGTCTGCTACAGTACTCAGTCTGCATTCAGACCATGCAGTTCATCACACCACCACACCAGAGAATGGAAGGGAATGCCGTCTTAATAGCCCCCTCCTAATATGCTTGTCACCGAGAGGGTGCTAATTAGTATCATTTTGGTGTTGTGGGCATTTCCGGGGCCCCATGTGTATAATCAGCTGTTCTACAGCCTAGGCTTAAAACGGAGCTCCATCTTTCTGGGCCTTATGCAAAAGTCCACTGAATTAGCATTTCCCATTTTACAGCATAGCAATCATCGAACTTGTCCACTTCGGTGAGCTGTTGCACGTCATCTGGTTGCAAAGCAACCAGGGACTAACCCTGGAGGTGGGTTTTGTGGTTTGGGTGAAAATTCATGACATAGCGCCTTGTGTGCAGTGTATTGTGAAACAGCTATCAAACAATGTTTGCTATGTATGTTATAACTGAATGGTTTCTCTAATGCTGGCCATACATTTTATAGTTTACTTGTTACAGTCAGGTAGTGATTATATGACGAAGGAAGACAGGGAAATACATTTGGATGATTCAAGAATGAGTGCTATGGGTCTCAATCATGCAGATCAAAAGAGAATGTGCTTTCATATCCATCTGAAGATGGTCTACTTGCATTGTACAATAAATGTGGCATAAACATGCATGATTGCAATTTGCACAGGCTAAGTGTGCTGGTTTATGTGCTGTGTAGTTATTCACAGAGAGATTAGTTTGCCTTGAGGTCTCTGCACATGATGTAGCCCAAAGGTATATCATCATTTCCCAATACAGTTACTATAGCCAAGACTAAATGCCAATAGTCTTATGCTTATGGGTGCCATAAGAGTATTTTGTATATAAGCAATCTTCACTGCATTCATTTGTTGTATATCTTCAGCATTACCAGACTGTGCTGTACTGAACTGCAGTGAAAAAAACACACGATGTGCAATGTCAAGCTCGGGTGCTCTGGAGTGTAAATGCTTACCAAATTATGAAGAGAAAGGCTCAACATGTGAACGTAAGACTGCTTTTATCATTTGTCTAGTTAACTGCAAAAAAGAGCATTTTGAAAGAAAGACTAGAATATTGTACTGTTATGTAATTGTTAAGTTTGAAATATTAATATTATTTTTTACTGTACAGGTAGAGGGTTCTATATATGAATACCATGACGCAGGAAAAAAAAATGTTCATGGTAAAACATCAGGACACTTATCTGTGTAATACACAAAGCTACTTTGTCAGCTCATGAATGTTTCTGCTTTACTAAAAAGCTAGTAACATTCCACAGAATAACTTTACCAAAAACCAATAGTCTACCTGTCACTAGAAAACATAGTTTGTGGAAATGTACCTGACATAGACATACTTCTGACCTAACTATATATTGTATTGTTGTTTTTCTATTTAGAAACAGTTCCTCCCCTATATATATGTGTCAGCTCTGAGAACATTCTAGATTCAGCAGTGAGCTTTAAAAATGATATGAAGCTTTTATTTCCACAGCAACTTTTCTGACTTCTGAGCTTAGCTATAGAGATCTTTTCCTCTTTGGTCATTGTACTAGAACATACTACAGTACATGAGTTATATGGGTTAAAAGCTATACGCTATCAAAACTGTAAATACTGGCTTGCACTGTATATAAAATATGTATGTGAATTATATGTAACTTTACAAGTCTGCATGAATTAATTCCTGCCATTTTACAATATACAGCAATGGTATATTCTTTCAAAAAGCTGTAGCATCTATCATTTAAAAGCAGTCCTTGAAATCCAGTCTAGTGACTTTGCCTAGGCTTAGATGATGTCAGAAATCTGCTGCAGGCAGTAGAAAGCATTTCCTCAGTTTCCTTCTCTATCAGTGATCAGACTGCAGTATTGCAGCCCTGTAGCAAGTCACAAGGTGAAGAAGCAATAGGGCAAGGGCCACCATCTCAGTCTAGGAAGCAGATGCTGACCCGGGACCATGGCCTGAACAAAGATTGTAATTAGAGAGAAAAGTGGATGACAGCATTGTCAGGGAAAGTTATGTGATCTCTGTGAGAGGTAATAAATGCCTGTGTTACACATAGCGTGCATGTATGAAAAGATTTCTGATACTATGTGCCTTTTAAGTACTTTTGACTTAAACACGTCTGAGCACTAACAGGTACCTGACTAGTGACTTTATCATATTAGCTTCATTCTAACACGTTTTAATTGTTTGTTACTATGATGTACAGAATCCAAATCTATGTAACTCTACAGGGCATGACAGCAGAGGAGGATTCTACATAAGCACAGTTTATGCACTTAATACAATAGAAAATAATTTAAAACCCATCTAAATACTAAGCACAATGTACAGCTCCACAACAGATATATTCACTAGCTTAGTCACCCATGCTATGCCTGCTATTTTTGATGGATTCACTGGGGCAGAACTAGACTCATTTAAATTGACAAAGACAAGGCTAATCATATCTGAAAGCCAGCTCTAGTATTGTCTGTTCTTTGGGTGAAGGCATGAACTTCTTATGAGACTAATGAATGACCTTAGCAGTGCTTGGCTTGGGAAGCTGAAGTGTAATCAGAGTCAGAGAAGAGTCAATTGAAGATAATCACAATCCTATCAAATTGACAAACACAGTTGGCCATGAAGCTGTATATTTTAATATGAACACATGGTGCCAGAATTTATGAAATCATGTGTACATATTGAAGTCTTAGGACACAGATACTGCTCATTCAATCTATCAAACTAAATATGTAGTATTGATGACATTGGTTGATGTTTGTAGTACAGTGGTTACTAACTTTTAATACTGATAAAAACAGATTACTTGCATCTTACCACCTTTTCAATATATTATTCTGGTGCTCCACTGCCCTTGAAGTTTTTCCTAAGTTCCCTTGTGGTCATAGGGGACTTATACTGTCTATTTGTGATCCATCATCTTTTGGCTGTTTCATCAAGAATTTAAATGACGTTGAGATCCAGAGCCACTCGTGACCCATTTGTGCCAACTTTACCATGTCAGGAAATACATTTCACTTAAGCTAAAAAAAAAAAAGTGTCTAAAGCATACAATACTGCAAGTGCAAATTCCCATACAAAAAACTTCCTTCTGAAAATAGTCCTTTGAGTTTAAATGAGTTCTTTTACAGATGGGGATACAAGGCCTAGCTGTTGCTGATGGCAGAGGAAAATATACGGCTGTAAGAACCAACAAGGAGAGAGAGGGCACAAAGGACCTGGTTTATTAAATAAATACATTTATAATTAAGTCAATTCTACACTCACAGTTCTGATGGTGATAGGAGCACTTTCGCAGAGGCATGAAGTCCAACAGCTGTATCCCAGTATTCCAGACCAACTGTAGAGCTATACTGCTGTTTCAGCTGCTTGGCTGGCGACCCTTGGCTTTAGCTGAGGCACCTACTACATTCTGCCTCTGAAAAGCATCAGAAATTGCTTGGAAGCACCTCCTGTAACAAGGTGAACACTGATTCTGCATCCCATTACTATGGTAATGCATTTTGGGTATGTGCCCCCTTTCTCAATCAGTTATATGTGTGCAGTGTCAATACTGGCAGGAGATAGCAAGCAAAATAAAAACCTAATGTATAGTGAATAACTAAAAAGAACAGGGCCACACTGGCAGTGCAAAAGAGTTTATCCTGGCTGCATTATAACCCAGACGCTGACCACAGATGGTGCTCTACAACTGCTGGATGTTAGGCCTCTGTGAAAGCGCTTCTATCCTAGTCAAGAGTGCAGACCTGACTTTTATAATATTAAATGTATTTGTTTTACTACACAAGGTATTTTGCACCCTCTCTCTGCTTGTTTGGTAATATATTTGACATGTCATGTGTCTATAGGTGACCTTCCTTGTATATGTATTATCTATTTTCTGCCCATTCGTAAAATCAAAGTTATGTCTAATGACATAATTGACATATTGTCACTTCATTCTAAGCCATTTTAGGACCAGTAAAATAAGAACATGCTTAATGTAAAAGAGGTGATACTAGTAAAGGGGTGTAGTGTTTGCGCTAAAGTCTGTTTGCTTACAGGTTCCAGTGATGGAAATCTGACTCTGCTTGTTACTCTTCTCTGCACTCCACTGTCCTTAGCTGTAAAATATATATCCCCTGCTATCAAAATATCTCATCCCCATCACTTCTTCTATTTTCAGCTATCAATCCATGTTTGAAGAAAGTATGTGATGCAGCAGCTTATTGCACATATGTGGGACCTAATAAACACACGTGCACATGCAAGGAGGGCTACAGAGGTGATGGGTTTGTGTGTTTACCGATTGACCCCTGCCAGGAAAACTTCGGAGACTGCCCCACAGAATCATCAGTTTGTAAATATGATGGACCTGGACAGGTGAGATTGGATAAAATGTTCAAAAGAAACAACTGCTGCCCTAAAATATTTTTGGGGAGGATCCCGTCAGATACCTCGGGATGTCTTCTCATTGCGGCGCTTAGCCCCGCCCACCACCTAAAATAAGGTTTTACAGCCTTCCTGTGCATGTTGGCTAATTACAGTAAATTACATTATTTACTTATTTAGCCTAAGGAATGCATTCATAAAAAAAAAGATAGAACCCCATAGTTCTCCTTTAAAGCGTAAATAAAAGTTAGTGGCATCCTATTCCGCCCCTTTCACTTTAAAAAAAAGCTGAGCATTCTTTATTTTTTTTAACTTTTTTTTTTTTTCTGGTGACCCTGCCCCTACCACCATTCTTGCCTAAGTAAGAATGATGTTTCATTCTCCTCCTGCAGCCTCCTGAAATACCGATGTCACGTATACCAGGAAGCTCCAGGAGAAGAATCCTTTCCATTCATGTAAACAGACACAGTGCCAGATCTCATGCATGTGCAAAGAGAGATTATGCGTTGTGTCTATTTACTTGTTGTTCTATGAATGGTGGAAAGTAATACCTCCTAGAAAATGTAATATCGGTATCCCAGGGGGCATTACTATCCTCCATTCCTAGAACATCCTCCATTCCTGGTTGGACTTGATGGACTAATGTCTTTATTCAACCTCAAATACTATGTAACTATGTAACTATGTAACAATGTGTAAAGAAACACAGCGCCAGATCTCTGTTTGTGTATGCATGAGATCTAGCACCATATCATCATGGGGCTGGCTGTGGGAACAGACAGCCTGTTTACAGTTATTAAAGAAGTAAAATGGAGTGCATGTCAGAACCTGCAGGGAGAGAGCGGTGGAAGAGAAAAGGATGAGTGGGGCTGGATCCTTTGGGCTTGTACGTATGTTGTGACAGCAACATAGTAAGAGCACCAAAGGTAAGTAGGGAAATATTAATTTAGGAGTTTAAAGTTCCTCTTTAAGATAGTAGACACATTTTTTTAGCTATGATATCAAGTTAGATTTTGCATTGGTATCTGGCTCTTCTGGTATAATGGCTTAGTCTCCCCAAGAAGGACAGACAGGGAGACAACTTCCTATCTTCAAATATACAATTTAAATACACCAAATACTTATTTATGTGATTATCCAATAAAGGCAGTTTTGGTTGTCATAACAAGCTTGTGGGTGTGCTGACAACATTTATCTTCCAAATGCACCAAGACACGTTGTATGCCACAGAGTAATCAGAGTAGGTCATCTATGGCCACCTGGTATCTTCTGGGGAAAAGGTCAGTAAAAGCCTATGTATTTCAGTCAACTCCCACTAGCCTTCCTTTTATTGAGGAACTTTCCATACTGTGAATATCAGTCTAAAACATTACCTAAAAGGTTCATGGAAGGTAAAATAAATGCTGGTTATCCTTGTTCATACTTCTAGATGCTATGGTTAGATTAGGAGAGGGTTAAAACTACTCAGGTTTTTCTTTGTCCAGGGGTCTCATTAGGGAGATCATCCTTCACTTCCTGTCCTGTAGAATCAACAGGAAAAGAGGATAGCTTTCCATTGTGAGAGAAATCCTCTCTTAGTTGTCAGGGTGTCAGACGTCCCAGGGAGCTAGTAGTGAGATGAGGAACCCACTGGCAGTAAGCAGCTGACAGTCCAGAAACGCAGTACAAGTTTAGGGATAAACCAAGAGGGGTAGTCAATGTCCAATCCGGGTCGAGGCAGGCAGCGAAGGTTCTAAGGCGGAAGACAGTCCAAGGGTCAGCAATCGGGAAGGATACAAAGGGGCAACAGGCAATAGGAGGATCAGCAGGGAGGCTAGGGGTTCACCATAAGGTGGAATAACTCAGGAATAAGCCAGAGCTCAGGCCAGGTTTTAATAGCCAGGGGAGGTAGGACCACCCACTGGTCACCGAGGCAACCAGGAGGCCTCTCTACACCGGGGACCAATGGCAGGCGAGGAAGATGGAAGGTGTGTACTGGGAACCTCCCCCAGCAAGGCTCACACCTGATAGCCAGATGAGACAGGAACGCTATGCGTGCACTCCCGGGGATGCGCACACAGCCTGCGTATTGCGCCTGCGCACACGCCGCGCGACTCGAGCATGCGCACCCGCACCAGGTGTTCTACCGAGCTGAAGAGGAACCCGTGCCCTGCGCCGTGCCCGTGGTTCCCGAGTAGAGGTAACACCCCCTGCTTCCTGACACAGGGGAACAAGTGTCCCTGTTGAAAGATGCCCTCTCCTTTAAGAACAATTACAGGTTATTGTAGTGGTTATACTCAAAAAGACTGATCATTTAGGTCATATTTATAGACAGAAATAGCATCCAGGTGTTGAGCAATGTCTTAACCTTTGGCAGCAGAAGAAAGATCTAGTTGTCTGGATTTCTTCTAGTGTTTGATCAGTTCAAGTAATATATGTCAGTTCATTCCATAGCAAAACTACATTGCCATAAATGGCTTTGTATCCCAGACCAGACACTTTATTCAATCCAAACCCTGGCCTTCTTAACCAACTATTCTCTGTTATTGAGAGTGCAATTTTCTTAAATATATTTTATAAGTATCCTCAATTTCTTAAAACATGATGCTTGTTTTTTAAATTTAAGATCATATTTAACAGATTGCTTGTGCCATCATTTTAGCGTGGCTTATGTGGTATGCACATATAAACCAGGAATACTGCACTGTTCTAGTACAATCTTAGACCAAGCTTTTTCAATGCAGCAGATTAGGTGTCCTGTACACAGACAGAGTGCAGTCATGAGTAGGACACATTATCAGCAAATACAAACCACAATTTGATGCAATTTTGTGACTTTAGTGACCATATGCCTGCGTTTGAGTTTCTGGGTTTACACACTTGGTGTATTGACCATTATGAAAGGCCCCACTTTCCCTTTTGGATTTCTTATGTTATATTATGTAGTGTGCACTGGAGAACCTGGAACTTGCAAATTGGATGGGAACACACAAAACTCTGATGTGGTCCGGATATATATAAGGATATATCCATTTTAACAAAAGACTTTTAGGGGTCTATTTATAACCTATCCGCAGGGCCCATCACCCTGCGAGTATCTGTGAATGGTTGTTCTGTGCATATATATGTGCCAAAACCAACACTCTTTAGTTGTTTCTTCACATGCTATTTCTATGTAATACTGCATTATGGTCACTATATAGCGCCAAGGTGCATAGAAAATAAATGCTTAATTCCTATGCTCCTTAAGCTCCATCTAGTGGCCATAATGTGATTTTACATGACAACATTTAAAAATTTAGTGCATTTACAAATAAAAAACATTTTCTTTGGCATATTATCACTCAGAGTGAATGTTCCCAGAATTGTTTATATATAAACCCCAAAGTATCTGTCAATAATTCATAACTAGAAAAATGTTTTGATTTCAAAGTGTTCAAACCCCTTTTTAGGTATTTTACAGCTGTCCTTCTTCTGCTGGGAAGATTCACCCAAAGTGTGATAGGAAATCTAAAGTTTTACAGTTGTCACAAGAACAGAGTAGGGGAAATCTACTAATGGGGACACCTGCTTTGTTTTCCTCCCTCTTTGGTGAGAATTCCTCTCACTTTCTCTTGTGTCTCAGCAGCAGAATGGGAAAATCCCCCAAATGGGACACAAGCAGCTAAAAAAAACTTGATAACCACTCACTACTCTATCCAAAATGGCAAAAAAGGTCATGGCTTTAGGCATTCTTTAAGAAAACATAGACATCAGAAGGACAGTCGTGTGCCGATGGCCACAGGTTTTCTTCTAAAATGTGGACCGATAGCAGTTAAACGAGGTGTTCTGTTGCAATAAGTTCTTATTGCTTTTAGTAGGTATAGTAGAGGACTCTCAGTATCAGTTACAATTACCAATTAAAGATACAGTTCCTGCAATGGTAATAGTCACTTACATTTCATGAAACAGAACAGCACCTTCAAACTTTTAAGCCTTTGCCAAAGTCTGCTTAGCAGTGGTAAAAGTAAAAGTTAAGAATTTAAACAGGGCGCTCCTGCATCTCTCAGGCATCCCCAAAAGCATGGGGAGAGGCCCCCCTGTATAAATTTAGCTATTCTTTGGGGGACTATATACTACCGCAGCATTATTTTGTAATCGACCTCTACCACCAGAAATGGGCCCAGTCACTGGGGTTGTTTCCATTAGGATATCCCACTTGCCAACATAGGGTAGGGGAGCTGGGCATTGTGCCTCTAGTAGTGATATCAGAGATTGCCCCTTTCCCTGAAAGATTGTGTAGACAGAGATTTTTTAATTGGGTGAATGGTTTTAGGAAAGGGGAATTGTCAAAGTTGATGCAAAGATAAAACATTTTAATAAAAGATACTTAAAAACTTCTGAAGATGGCAAAAATGTTTTCAAAGTTTTGAAACTTAAGATTTCATTGGTAGTGAGCATGTCATATGTTTGCCTCAGAGCTCCTTTTATACAATTATGAAATCTGTAAGGTTCATCCAGCATTGAAGGGAAGGATTATGTAGTATTATGTACTATGGTGTCCAGTGAGATATATGGGGACAGATTTCCAGAATATTATACATTGTCCAACAATTTTAAGGGATATTTTAAGATAGGGTTATCTATATGTTTACGTTGCAATGGCAGAGTCCATAATAGCGTGTCGATGGGAATAGGTGTTAATTCCAAAGTCTACAAGTTCATCCAGAGAAGGATGCCAAGCATTGTATGGTATGATATTAGAGGAGATATTTGGGATGCATAATACTGTAGTAGCCGGTTACATGGAGGACTGAGAGGCCTCCTTAATGCCTTGGTTGGTTCAGATAAACCGAAGAAAGTAACGTTGTTATATGAGCCGGAATTTTTAGAGGTAGCGATCTAAAGGGATGTGAAATTTTAAGGAGTAAGGTAATTTTAGTCGCTCGTATCCTTCCAAGCCTTGATATTTGAGAACGCTTCTATGATTCTATCATTAGTTTGGCTTGCCTCAGTATGGCAGGAATTTTTGCAGAGTACATTGTTTTGTAGCTGGGAGTGAAAAGGATCTATCCTCTTCATTTTCCATTGACAAGGGAAGGAAGATTGTAGTGTTGATACCAGTTCTGACAATACAATTCTGTTTAAGGCTGTCGACTTGTGTAAGAGTAACTTGTAAACCTGAAATAGTCTTGACGCTGGTTTACAAGTTTGCTAAATTATTGAGGTCAGAGGATTTGTAAGAAAAAGATTTGTGTCATTTGCAAATAAACAAATCCAATATTCATATCCTGCAAACCTCTAGTCCTCTTATATCAGAGCAGTGGTGGACCTAAGGAACAAAGGGCCCTGGTGCAAGATTTTTTTTTGGGCCCCCCCCCTGCTGAGATTTGTAGTCCTCTATAGAGGGTGCCATTCTGCATTGCTGCAACAGTACTTTATACAACATTAGGCTACAAATAATAATTATTTTAATGAATTATTTCCCCCCCCCTCCCTCACCTCTTCTGGCCGGTCTTCTGTCTTCATCTGTTTCCTATGTGTTTTCTGTTTGCTGGGTCCTCACTGCCGTCCAACGCCCCATGTTGTGCCTGCAGGGCTGTCTTCAGTGCCTCCTTTTCTTCGGCTCCCTCCTCACAGCGGCCGGCGGGCCCCATACTATCTCAGCCGGCGGACAGGCCCCCCCATTTCAGTGCGTTATCTCTGCGCCGGGAGTGTCGGATGAACGGATGATCCGACACTCTCGGCGCAGAGATGGGGGGCCTGCTGGCCGCTGGGTACCGATCCGGCGCTGGGACTGTGCTGGGCCCCCTAGAGGCCTGAGGCCCTGGTGCGCCCGTACCGCCTGCACTGGCGGTAGTTCCGCCACTGTATCAGAGCTGTGTCAAATCCCTATGGCCAAGGGTTTCAGTACAAAGGACAAAGAAAACAGGGGATGCGGGACATCCCTGGAATCTGCCTCTAGAGATTGGAAACCTTGGAGCACGAAAACCAACAAACTGAATGAACGCTTTAGGATCAGTGTAGAGCACTCATATCCATTTGATAAAGTTAATGAAGTGTTCTGATCTGATAATTAATTGTCCTTATTTCACTGCTTATACAAATGGCATTATCACCTGATCCAGTTGAAATTGACAAGGTTAAGCAATCTTTATCTTATGTTTATGTGCAGCTTAATCATTTTTGTTTATCGATTCTTAGCAATCGTATTTGTTTTTTAGTCTCACTGTGAATGTAAAGAAAGCTACAGAAACTTTCAGCCTGGAACTGGATGTCAATTGACCGATGTATGTGCCACTAAGAACACATGCAGTAAACATGCCAACTGCACTACTGTCTCTCCTGGACAAATTAAGTAAGTGACAATGACTGAATTTCCTAAATCTGTATTGATTTATATTGTGTGACCACCTATATAAGTATGAATATTTTAAATGTTCATTATCCTGTTTTGGCAGATGCACATGCAAGAAGGGTTATGTTGGTAATGGATTTGTTTGCTATGGAAACCTTTTAGAGCGAATGAAAGAGATTAATAAAGAACCAGGACAATGGCAAGGAAGGCTAGCCACTGCCATCGGATTGTTTGGTAAATATTTAATGTTGCTTAGGCTCTCAAGCAGTGATGTCCAACATTTTCATTTAAAGGGAAAGCATTCCATTATTGTATGTAGGTTCCCATACACCAGAGCATTTATTTTAGACACTTTTACTGCAGCGATTAACCTTGAGACACACTTAGGGTGAAATAAAGTCAATTGTTCTCTGTGTTTTTCTTCCAAGTAGAGATGAACCAATACCAATACTAGTATACTTGTACTCATGAAAATGCCCGATACATAGCACCCCCCCAGCTAACCCCTCCCCTCCAAGGTCCCCCCCGCAAGGTCCTTCCCACCAGCCACCCCTCTCCGCTATGGTTTTTGGCCTCCCCCGCTCATCTGGAGGACTCAGGACCACGGCAAAGTAGTTCAGGATGGAGAGGGGGAAGCGTTTGTTCTCTGCTCTGCTCTGTGTGATCAGTTACACAGAAAGCGCTGTATTCACAGCATTTCCTGTCAGCTGTCACAACCTAAGCTGTACAGAAGATAGAGCACAATTCTGTGCTGGATTTTCTTTACTGGAGGGCAGGCTCATAAAGAGAACCTGTCCCCTCTGAATGATATCATATAGGGGATTGTTATCCTCTGTGTGATATCAATAAAGTTAAGTGGAAAAAAAGTGATAAAAAATAGAAAATAATAAAATAAAAATGTTAAAAAAGATTGAAAAAATACGAAAATATAAATATAATAACATTTTAAAAAGTGATAAAAAGGTAAAAAAAATTATAAAAATATCAAATAATAAAAAAAAATAGAAAGTGCTAAAAAAGGTAAAAAAGATAATAAAATAAATAAGAATTTACAAATAAAAACCAACCCACCCTGCCCCGCCATCCATCTGCGTGCAAATAAACACAAACTGCCCTAATTCCGCTGTGTGCCATATTGTGGTAGTGGGGCAGCAGCACTCTCTAGCACGCACAATGCACATTAAGCGCTCCTTGCTATACTTACCTTTTGGCAAACGGTCCGTCCACTCTGATCTGTACCCCATACTGCCATCCAGTGCAGCCCTGCACTATGGATTTTGAATTTCACTCGCAAATTGTGAGCACTCATTGGTGAGAAGCACTTCTTAGCACGGTTAAATGAGGTTTGGGTTAGGGATGCACAGATACTTTTCGAGTACCAGTGCCGATACTTGGCATTTTCATGAAAACTACAAGGGTTGCAGCGGTTGAAGCTATGTCTGGGCTCTGGCGCTCCACCACTGTCCTGAAATTATCAGTCTGTATTGTTTTAGAAAAACTGTCACATGACAATAAACAAAAATGTATCAGTACTCTTACTTGTAAGTACTCGGCAAGTACCAGTACTCGTACTCGCAAAACTGGTATCTGTGCATCACTTTATTTATATTTATAAAAACGAAATCGTACAATAAAACAGAGATGTACAAATCCCAGGAGCTCCGAGTGCTCCTTACACATGACAGCGGCCTCCTAATTTTTGAATTTTTCTCTAGTCTAGTCTTGGAGCTCAAAAGTATCCAAGTACTGTACCGAGTACTGTACTTGGTATCTGTGCAACCCTAGTTTGGGTTAAAATTATTTTTTTATCAGGGCAAGTATAATTATGGATTGAGTTACAGTTTTTCATAACTATGAAGAAACTGCCCTAAAATCATTAGTCTGTATTGTTTTAGAAGGAATTTCACATGTTCCTTTAAGAACAAGTATCGGTAATTGGTATCGGCAAGTACCTGGGGGAAAGTACCTGTACTTGGTCTTGAAAAAATGGTATCAGTGCTTTTCTACTTCCAAGCACCCACACATTTGTACCAGATTGTGTAGTGCCTTGTTGTATTTCGCTGATTTTAAAAGTGGTTTCTGCGTTAACTAAAAAAAAAATGGCTTGAAATACAGTGGGGAATTTATGAAAACTGGAGAAGAATCTGGAGCAGTTGCCTATGGCAACCAATCAACTTCTCTCTTCAGTTTGTCCAGTTAAGGTTTTAAAATAAAAGGTGGATGCTTATTAGTTGCCATGGGCAACTGCTCCAGATTCTGTTTTCTCCAGTTTTCATAAAATCCCCTCAATGACTTTGATCTACTAAAAGAGTAAATCTTGCTCACTTCTTAAACCAATATTCTCTTTTAGCTTAGTGAATAAGATGAAACAAAGTAAAATTTTACTTTGCAAAGAATAAACAATTACATGCAAGGGTATTCTTTACAAAGTGAATTTTGACTTTGTTTCAACTTATTTACTAAGATAAGTGAAATTTCACTTTATAAATTAAAATAACTTTGAAAGTGAACATTATCTACTCCTTTTTTTAAGTGAACCCCACCATAATAAACTCTTAAAAATTAAAATAGAAATGCATGTGGGCTTACTATCTTCTACAAAAGAAAGCATTTAAGAAATGCCTGTGTGTACTAGTTTAGTTCTTACATAGAATACTAAAACTGTGTATATATATATATATTTCTGTTTATGCATATATTTCCATATAAAATGACAAAGCATTTAAAATGTTATCTAGTTTTAATCAGGTAAATAGGAAATATTAGATGTAAATATTTTAGTTTTACCATCAAAACAGCTCAAAGCAATTGTTCCAAGCTCTATGAAGTATGGATATGCTAAACATTGAGCCTGAATAGCAGGCAACCCCCTCCCCAGCAATGTCTTTTTTTTTGTGTGCATTTATACGGGCTGAAAAAAAAGCAATACAGGCAATACTGGGCTTACTTATTAAAAAGCCCAACACGTTCTCATGATATGTTCACATAATAAATGGCACCCTGTAATAAATATCAGTTTTTATACAAAAAAAATGTAAAATATCAGTTTATAAAACTGCAAAAAATAACTAAAAGGTGACCAAACAGCAACATTTTGTCTGGTTTTACATATCTCGCGTCTACTAATTTATAAATGGATCAGTCTTCAAGGCAGGCATTAAACTGGCTACTATGTATCATGATCTAAACATCAACTAGCATGGTAGAGATGTCATAACATTAGTTCTAATATTAAAAGGTATAAATGTATGTGACCTGTTGCTGTTTACCCATAGAGGCTTATTCTTGGCAACTATCTTCACTGGGACCGTTCACTGTCTTGGTACCCATAAACAGAGGCATCAAAGCAAAAGATGTGAGTATTTTTAAGTAATCCAGTTACATTAATGACAGTCAACAAATCTCAATTTTCATGTTTTTACATCTTTTTATATATATAGCAATCAATTTGCAAATAAGTGAATTGCAGATTTTCTTATCCACTTGAATATATGCATAAATACCGATCCTCCTTATTCAGTCATCACTAATCACAATAGATAATACATGACACGCTGCAAGCATTTTTGCTAATATAAAGGTCATAGTAAGCATAGCAGGTCATACCGTTGCTTCAGGCCCAGAAGCAAACAGTTTAATATACACAGTGAAAAATGTTACTGGGTAAATCATTTAACCATAATACTGTATTTGAACCATGAAGAAAGCGGAGCTCCAGGCAGAAATAAGTAACTGCAGTTACTTACTTGATATCTGCTTCCTGTAATCTCCTACATAGCAGCGCTGGGAGAGGCAGGGACAGAACAGGAGGGAAAAGAAGAATGACCTTCTCAATGCACTCCTTCGTCTTTATTAGTAGTCTGGGAGTTAGTATGTTTTTTGTTGCGCACACCCTGTATCAAAGGTCAAGGATCTGGGTACGCTGTCTGGCAGGACTGCCTAAATCAAAAAATCGCTGAACAGACTTTTAATTTGGCAGATAACACAGCTCCAATATATGTATTCCTCCTGCTTATTTAGTGGCTTCCCTGGAGTTCCTCTTTAAGATAAATTCATATATTTTCTGTGTTGAGTTGCAATGATACCAGTTATGTGGATTTAGAATACACAGGTCTCCATAGTGGCTTGTAAATGGTTTTGTGACGTTCCAGTTGGTGGACCAATGTTTTACTTTGCTGCAGAGCCCAGCTAAATATAGCATTAGTAGTAGTTATTGTATTTTTTTCAGAAAATTCTATTGATAAATCTACCCATTGAGGATTTACAGAGCGTATAACCCTGATTCCAAAAAAGTTAGGATGCTGTGTAAAATCTACATAAAAACAGAATGCAATGATTTGCAAATCTCATAAACCCATATTTTATTCACAATAGAAAATAGAAAACATATCCAATGTTTAAACGGAGTACCATTTTAAGAAAAAAATAAGGTAATTTTGAAATTGACGGCAGCAACACATCTCAAAAAAGTTGGGACAGGCCAACAAAAAGCTGGCAAAGTAAGTGGTACTAACAAGCAAGAGCTGGAAGAACTAATTAGGTTAATTGGCAACAGGTCAGTAACATGATTGGGTATATAAGGAGCATCTAAAGGTGCCCGTACACTGCATGATTCTCGTACGAGAGTCGCGGGAAAAATCCAGCGATCGTATGAGAAATGTGCAGTGTATGGAAGGCATGCGACCATTTCTAATGTAAGGTCGCATGACTTTTGTATTTCAAGCATGTTGGAAAACCAGCCGAGAATCGTACGATTTTCGGCTGGTTTTTAACATGATCGAGAGATGACTGCCGAACGGGCCGCTGTGCGCACGTGCACACTGCCCGTTCAGCATTGCAGTCATCTGAAGCCCGCCCCTTAGGGGGGCGGGCTTGCGATGATCGCAAGTACAATCTGCCTGTCCAAGATGGGCAGATCGTACATTTTTTAAATTACTTCACAACCCTCGCAAGACAAAAAGGGTTGTAAAGTGTAAGGGCACCTTTAGAGAGTCACTCAGAAGTAAAGATGGGCAGAGGTTCACCAATCTGTGAAAAGCTGTGTCTGAAAATTGCCAAAAACTATTTCAGAATAATGTTCCTCAATGTAAAATTGCAAAGACTTTAAATATATCATCATCCTCTACAGTACATAATGTCAAAAGATTCAGAAAATCTGAAGAAATCTCTGTGTGCAAGGGACTAGGCCGAAAGGCAGTATTGGATGCCCGTGATCTTCATTCCCTCAGATGAACATCACTGCATGGGCTCAGGAATACTTCCAAAAATCACTGTCTGTGAAAACATTTTGAGGTGCCTGTGACAACATGGTGATCAGTTTATAAGTTAAATGTGTATTGGTGTTGAGTTATGTTTTGAGTGCGTTATGCTGTGTGACCTGGTTATGGAAAGACTATCTGAACCATCCCTCGTTATCTCCTATTGTTCTCTGAGGGAGCTCAGAACAATGACATTCTGGCCAGGCTTCTGCTATGGCTGTCTGGAGCTCGTTAGCAGGTGGACACCTGTGGTGTTATGAAGACAGAATGTCCAGGGAGGGGACGGGGGATGTGATGGGATTATATTCTGATCTGATCACTTTCTGTATAAAAGTTTGTGCAGTTGTTCAATAAAGCAGAGTTTGTTTACCCTACACTCAAGCCTTGGCTAGTGACTGGGGAAACTGGGAGCTACAGATCTTCAGGTTCCAATATCTCCTCAGCAAGGAAGAAGACAGCGGCGGACATACTCATCCTGAGTACGGGGGTCCGTCACAGTGCCATCCAAGAATGCAAGTTAAAGCTCCTTTATGCAAAGTAGAAGCCAAATCTAACCATCATCCAGAAACGCTGCCGTCTTCTGGGCCAAAGCTCATTTAAATTGGCCTGTCACAAAATGGAAAACTGTTGAAATTTTACTTTGTTTTTGCCAACCATGGGTACAGTGTCCTTCGGACTAAAGAGGAGAAGGACCTTCCGGCTGGTAATCAGTGTTCAGTTCAAAGGCCTGCATCTCTGATGGTATGGGGGTGCATTAGTGTGTATGGAATGGGCAGCTTGCACATCTGGAAAGGCACCATCAATGCTGAAAGATATATCCAGGTTGTAGAGCAGCATATGCTCCCATCCAGACAACATATTTTTCAGGGACGACCTTGCATACTGCAGCAGGACAATGCTAAACCGCTTACTGCAACTATGACAACAGCATGCTTTCATAGTAGAAGATTCCGGGTGCTTAACTGGCCTGCCTGAGGTCCAGACCTTTCATCAATTGTCATATTTATTGTTTAAAAGATGTGCCAAATATTTTCAAAGAAGACCCAGGACTGTTGAGCAGTTAGAATCCTATATCTCTCCCAAAACTCCAGCTACTATTCTCCGCAATGTCCAGACATTTACAGAGTGTTGTTTAAAGAAGAGGGGATGCTACACTGTGGTAAACATGCCCTGTCCCAACTTTTTGAGACGTGTTGCTGCCATCTATTTTAAAATGACCGTATTTTTTTCTTAAAATGGTATATTTTCTCAGTTTAAACATTTGATATGTGTTCTATTTTCTATTGTGAAAAAAGTGTGGGTTCATGAGATTTGCAAATCATTGCATTCTGTTTTTTTATAGATTTTACACCGCGTCCCAACTTTTTGGAAATGGGGTTTTAATTTCATATAAAATTAAGACCATGTTTTGCTTTTCTATTCAAGGTAAAAAATCTTATTGCAAGCAAAGAGAATATGCTGTACTTCATCAAGCTGCACATGATTGCTGGCCAGTTGAATGTCGAGGATTTTAACAACACAGATTTGATATATACACTGACTGGGAAATCAGGGGAAGTGATTGCTGGAGAGACGGTAAGATTCTGTTAGAATAACATAGACTAGTTAATAGTTCCTTAGGAGCAGAAGAAAAGATCAACATGCCAAACGTGTACCAATGTCACTGTCAAATTATGGTTGTGATGAGTGCTCAGGACACTTGTAAGAATAGGCAGATGTATACCAGCCAATTGCCTTTAGGTAGCTGTAAACCGCTCTGTGGCTACCCTAAGGGTAATGATTGGCTGGTAGGCAAGAGTTGCCTATTTTTTAGGTGACTGTTTGTGGTGACATGTGATGCCTTTTTTTCATAGAAAAGTTTTTTGTTTTTTTCTCCAGGCACACACTTACATACATGTCTTGAAGGAAACGTGTACTGAGATATATGCTGTCATTGCTGACCTCTTCTTCTGAAAATATCCATTGCCTGACTGCCATGCTGATTCAATGACTTTTATATTTGGTGAGCCACCAACTGGCATGCTGTTTTTATGTTAGTGATTTACAATGCACCAGAGCCAGTAACAGCCTGGCAACTAATATTTGTTGAAGATGGTCAGCAATGGTAGCCCCTGTTGTCTCTCAGTGCAGGTTCCCTTTAATACTTTTTTTAACTAACAAAATGAATATTTCTGATTTTTTTAATTTTCAGGATAATGAGTTACAAATAAGGATTCGTGGAAGCAAAAAAAGAGTCAGGTTTCTAGCAAAAAATCTAATGGCGTCTAATGGAATCATACACATCATTGATAAAGCTATGGATTTTGTAGAGCCAACTCTGGAGAGCAACACTAAAGTAAGTTAAAAGTTATTTTGTGTACGAGTGGGGTCAAGACTTCATTATTACCAAACCAGTGGAACCAGTGATATTTTATGTTAGATAACTACACCTATAACTACACCTGCAAGTTGGCGATACATAAGTAGGTTTCATACTGAATGAGATGAAAAATCAATAAACCCACTTGTGTTCACTTTGATTGCTACCCACCCGAATCAATCATGTTCAGGATCCCTTTTGCCCACAATTGCTCGCCAACTGCGAAATTTGAACATGTATTTTCCTAACTTTTAATTCTTCTATTTTTTTTATTATTATTTTCAGGAGACAATCATGGACATCCTCCTAGAAAATGGTAGATACAATCGTTTCAGGTCTTTGTTGGAGGTGAGATATTTTCCATTCCTACTTTCTCCTACAGCAAAGAACTGAAGTACTGATACATTGTCTGTCACTATTTATTTTCTTTATAGAAATCTAACCTGGGACCTGACTTAGAGAAGGATGGGCCTTATACTATTTTTGTTCCCAACAATGATGCACTCTCTGGAATGGAGAATGGGACTCTGGAATACATGTTGTCCAAAGAGGTCTAATCTTTTTACTTAACCATCCTATCCAGATGTTATGTTGACTATAGACTAGCCATTGAAGCTGTAATAAATAAAGATTAGTACATAATGGAAAATGCTCTGCTGTTGACTGGGGGAGGTGAACTTCATTGTCTGCCAGGTGAATCCAATATTCATCTAACCCATAGAACCAATTATGGGTTCCCTACTGGCTCTGCCGAGTGGCAACATGCCCCCTGATTGGGAAACCCATTCTTCAAGAGACCACAGGCTCCCTGCCCCTTGGATGATCCGGGCTTTAGTCATCTAGTGGGAACCACTGGAGATCCTGCTTTTAAAGGAAACTGGTACCGATAAACATATGGGGGTTGTCATTGCTCACATCCTGCTATTAATGCCACTTGCCTTGCTGTCTCTGGCTTCACTGACCAGGAATAAACATTAAGCAACCAAAGTCAATACTCTGATCTGCTTACTTGTTGTGGGTCAGTGACACAGACAGTTCTAAGGATGCTGGATTAGTATGACAGCCAAGCAATCTTTCATAAGAAGAGGTTAGCAACAATAGCATGTATATAGCCGGTATACCTTTGTTCAATCCTCGTTAAGTCTCCAGTTGCATATAGGATAAGTAGTTTGAAGCCTTAAGTGGCTATGGGTAAAGAAGAAAATTCTACTTCCTTGTTAGGTGCTATCCTATTAAAATAAAATCATAATTTTTTTTATTAGAGGAACAATTTATTTGATGATAACCGAAACTTACGCTCTTTTGTTATAAAATGTCTCCCTGGAAAATGTTTTAAATTGCTGTAGCAGGTAAAGCGTCATAAATTTCTATTAATGTTAGTATACAGTATAATTTTGGTTTAAACAAATATGGTTACCAGTACAATATTATGTGAAACAGTATGGGTGAAACAATATGTGAATAGAGCTTCCACACCATTTAAATGTTCTTATACACTAATTATAGAATCAGCTCTGTGAAAACGTTTCACTTGTTGTGTAGATTTGTGTGCTGATAAGGTAAATGAATCACCCACAATAACGTTATACTACAAATGTGTGGTGTTGGTTTTGGTCTGTCCTAAGGTTTATGGTGGGAAAGTTTTGACTAGCAATGGCTGCTTTTACCTAATTAAGGTTTCCATAAAAATCAGAAGAGGGTTAAGGGTTAAGGCACAGTCTGAACCCCAGAAGCACTTTTATGTATGTATGTTTATTGCTGTGGATTTCAAAGGGGAAAGTATAATATGCCTAATGCCATTTATCTTTAAAAAAAAATGCAAATGGGTTGAGCTAGGAAAACCATTAGGATTTGATTAGTTCTCCCCCTGACAAACAGCTGTGGGATGCTTTAGGGAAGTGCCTACAAACACATAGTCACCATAGGACCTTAACACAGATCATCCGCAAAGATCAGCTGATATTAGTGGGCATTTTGGCAAGGCTGGCAAATGTAATAGTTCACAAGTTCTATCTCTAGCGTTGTTCAAGCTATACAGTACTGTTTGCCTAAATTATGTTTTTTCATTTTCCCCTTTTCTTTGTATGTGAACAGGGATCTTGGAAACTTTTAGAACTTATGAGATACCACATTGTCTCATCTGCTGAAGTAAGTTTCATTGATATTTTTTATATTAGCAAATCAGTAAAATGTACAACTGAGCTTCCTTGCAGTTGCCAGATGTTGTATGTATTGGTTTACTAGCTTTAAATGAGGAATCTACCGCTTGCCTTTTGGATTTGTAATGGCAAGTGATGGCATGTAAATACAATTTCTTCCATATTTTGTGTGGTTGTCTTTTTAAATCCTTTTGGCTTACCCTAACATAATCTTATCAGTGGTTCTGTTTAAATTAAATAATGGTAGAACAAGGCCAGTCCTGTTAGAATTTTGTAATACAGACTTCTACTTAGTCCTGTGTGTAAATCATCATACACTTACAATGTATGTTCTCCATACAATTTATTGAATGAGTTTTCCAATATATTTTATAAATGTTTGATTATCACCTTGACTTTTTACAGCTGGATGTTGCAAATATCATATCATCCACTCAGATTATGAGTATGGCAAACCAAATGATCCAGTTTAACATAACCAGTAATGTAAGTAGTAGAGTGTTTCTTTTCATGTGTAGCTCATTAAGATGTGATTGGTGCTCATTAACAGATTTAAAAAAACAGATATATAGAGCAGGTTTTATGTGTGTAGTTGTAAAAAAATTAAATAATGTGAAGAGAAAATGTGTATAAAATCAGATAGGTCTGCTGAGCAGCTCCATCAAGCTGAGAAGCTATCTGATGAGAATCTAGCAGTCTTAAGGTGGTCATACATCTTGCGATTATCGTACGATAATCCTGGGAAATCCCACGATCGTACGATAATCGCAAGGTGTATGGAAGGCGTGCGACCTGTAAAGTCGCACGACTTTTGTCTAACGAGCATGTTTGAAAACCCGCCGAGAATCGTATTATTGTCGGCGGGTTTGTGGCATGCTCGTAAGACAAATGCCGAACGGGCCGGTGTGCGCAAGCGCACACTGCCCATTCATCATTGCAGTCATCGGAAACACTCCCCTCAGGGGGGCGGGCTTGCGATGATCGCAAGTACGATCTGCCTGTCCAAGATGGGCAGATCCTACGTTTTTTTAATTACCTTACAACCATCGCAAGACAAAGGTCTTGTGATGGTTGTAAGGTATATGGCCAGCTTTAGTTGGAGTAAGGTATGCACTATCCACAAGGCTAAAGTGAATAGTACAATCTCTGACCAAGGACAGTCATCCTGTCCAGCATGGGCGCAATCATCAACCATTTATTTCTGCACCCTAAGAGCACCTGGTTTGCATATGAAAATAACGTATACATTGAAAAGAGGACTGTGAAACATTTATGACAATCAGCAATATCACTATAGGGAGACTGGCTGCACACACACACAGGCAGATACAAATTTTGCATAAAATCTGGCGCACTCTAAAGTTTGTTGTCAGCTAGGTGGCTCCCACACGCTTCTGAGATTTCCCAAGCTATCATGTGAGCTGGAATCCTCGCATACTTTCACCTTTCCGCTGCCTATACAGACACACAGAACTTCACATCAGCACATCAGACACAGAAATTAGGGTATCTTGACACCACCTGAAGTTTGTCAGCTAACTGGTCTGCTGGGCAAGCATACATATGTAACATACGTAATATAATGCAACAATCTCTCCAGGAACTGTAAATTCTTAGCTTAGTACACAGATCTCCAATATTCCAAGGCAGGCATTGCATAAACATATTTACAGAGGTAAAAAAATTTAAAAAATAGAAAAAAAATCAAATACACAAATATGGATATTTTCTACAAAATAGGTTATATGGACCAGCTGAGTCTATTGGTTGGGCCAGAGTTAAGATTTCCAACACCAGTGCATCATCCTGATCGCAGCAAATCTAAACACAACATGGCTGCCTCAAGCAGGGTCAAAAAATCCATTTAGTCAATCCATGGGATGTTATATAAGGCTAGAATATACCATTATGCATCCACATGCAGCTTATAGCTCATACTATCAGAAGGAATAACTCTCATCTCCCTATGACTAATAATTTGGATATCATGATAGATGAAAAATATTCCCTCTGATATCAGAAAATGAGTGGCGAAAGCAGACAGTTTGGAGCCTCAGTGTATAAAGATGTTTAATGTTACATAAAGCACAATATCAATTCTGAGCTTCCAATCTGTGCTAGGAACACATGCTGAAACTGAAGCTGTCTAAAGAGATAATTGTTTGTGAGCTGAAATTTTGATGAAGTCAAACATGCCCAAATTATTATTGTGCTTGATATCCCCAGAGTTTTATTCCACTGTAATGCCCACACTGCTGGATTAGGGATAAGGTTTGGAAATAAGGGAATAGTGACTGTAAAGTGTGCCATGCTTTTATTGTCACTTTCATAGACACCGTGATATTGTACAGCGCTAGAGGACGGAGGACCCCTATATAAAAGTTTCTGTAACACTTTAAAGGAACCCAGTGGTGCCACCTTTAAAATAACAACAATATGGTTAGCCTCCTTAATCAACATCAGTGAGCAAATACCATTTGGTCTGCTAGATTGTACAGTATTTCCTAAAATCTGTCAGGATCCCTGCAGCAAAAAGTAACTGTAGCAGTGCTATTTTTACCGTGGAGCTGTTGAACCGCAGAAAAATTAGGAAACTAGCATATCAATACATTTAAATAAACTTTTTGAAATCCACACAGGGGCACTACAAATCATATAAAAGAATACAGGCAGGATGTTCATTGTAATGAGGTTGATCCACCTTACAAGAGGGAGGGACAAGTTATTCCATGCCTTTATTGTATTCTTAAGGAATACTAACAAGGGGTTAAGATATAGTGATATATAATCTGCAACTAATTTGGTAATCCTTGTGCTTTAGAGTCAGGGGCCAATATTTTGGATTTGGTCCAATTCACTCTTAGACCCAAGTAAGTTGTGAATTATCTTTAGCGATTCCCTAAGGGATGAACCTAGGTCTGACAGAAAGAGTACAAGGTCATCCTCATATAGTGCTATTCTGTCTTACAACGCTTCCCAATATCAACCACGAATGTTGGACAAGGTGCGGATAGCCACCGTAATCAGGATTTTAATTTTTAATGTAAATCCAGAGCAGGTTCTTTGGAAAGGGGCAGTTGCAGTGGCTTAGAGAATTACTTCAGTGCTTCTGCTGTGAAATTAGAGGCTGGATTTGTCCACAGTGTCTGCAGCTAGAGGTCAGTGAGGACATGCTAAGAATATGTAAATACTTGCCAAAGATCACCCTTTTTCACTGACTTCCACCAACCCCTCCCCACATACAGATGCCTTGACAATCTTCTTCACCTGATTTGAATTAAAGTCTAACGCTAGGGGAAGGAAGCCTCAACACTCAAGCTGTGGTGAAACTATGGAGTCTATTCACGAAGTAGCCGAAGGATCTAGCCGTAGCTTCGGCCGATCCTTCGGTTAGCTTCGGCCCCAAGACCCCTTTGGTTCAGTAGAACCGAAGGGCTGCTGTACGGGTTATTCACAATAGCCCATACAGATCCCGAACTTAGCCGAGCGGCTCAGTGGAGCCGAAGGCATATGCCTCGGCTTGGCTGAGCCGCGCTGAAAGCCAAAGCTGGCCGAGTGGCCGACAGCCTGCTTCTGACAGCTGGGCAGAGCCAGCCGTGATCTTACGACTGGATCCGGTCACTTGCTGAGAGATCAGAGTCCCGAGTTACCAGCTAACCAGGGACACTGATCTCCGGGAGTCTCCCGCTCCCGGCCGCCCAGGAGAGAAACACTGCTTTTTCTTTTTTTTCTTTATTCTGACACGGAGCTGTGTCAGAATCGAAAAAAAAATTGCCCATAGGAATGCATTGCTAGATTCCTATTGGCTATTTCAATTTGCAATAGCCAAAAGTAAACTAGCATTGCACCCGCCCTCTGCTGCAGTTCTCCATCAGGTCCATCAGCAGAGGGCGGGTGCAATAGCCATGCCAGCCTGAAGTGAATAGCCGAACGGCGTTCGGCTACCTTCGCTTTAGGTCGGTCATTCACTTGGCTGCCTACGGCAGCTTAGTGAATAGATCCCTATATATTCCACCATGTCTGTGAGAGTCATGCCTGTGAATGTAAGAGTCTTGCAATGCCTTATCGGATATGTAGTTCCAGCTGGGGTACTAAGGTTGCCTTCTCTCGGTTTAACACGTCAATTCAGTTCAGAACTGTTCAACTGCAAAGGTTGCCCATACGTTTTATGTGTTACTTCTTCAAGCCTGTTAATTTCACTGAATTAATGGTAATTGTCATGTTTAAGCATATAGTGTGTGTACCTGGATGCACATTGGAAAATTTAATATATGATTTCCATCAATTAAATAATGTAATATGTACGTGTAAGTGTTCCACAAATATGTCTTAAAGGGCCAAATCCTAGTGAATGGAGAAGAGGTTGAAGAAGCTGATGTTGCTGCAAAAAATGGCCGCATTTACACACTGGATGGTGTTCTTATTCCACCCACTATATTACCCATTCTCCCTCACAGATGTGATGAAAATAAATTTGAATTAAAACTTGTAAGTACTTTGCTGGGATATTAAATTGCTAACATTTTTCCATAGTGTGCTAGGCCATTCTACTGCTTTACAGATAAATAGTCTGCGATAGTGAAGTGTTTAGAAGGTTTGACTATATCGGCCTATGTTTATGGTCTTTACTCCCATGAATTCTGTCATATCTGAGCTTTTCCTGGCATACTTCTATCTTGTGCAGCAGTAATAGTATGAATAATTACCCAATTGCCACACACATGCCTCACCTTTACCCCCTTTTTTATTTCCAAGTAGAAAACAGTCACATGAGAAATTGATTGCTTACCTTACCTAATTAATTCGCAATAAATAACAATATGTTGTTTTATACTAGGGAACATGTATCTCCTGTACTATGGTCCTTTTCAGTAAATGTCCAGAGGGATCCAAACCTACAGTAAGAAGCTTAATTTTTACAACTTAATTGTTTTATACATAATGCATTTGCAGACTATGAACTGATAACAGCGGATTTCTCTTTTCGTTGCAGTCACTCTTTACACACAAATGTCTCTACCGAAGTTCTGTAATGGGTAGTGACTTTCCCAGCAGTGGCTGTTCTAGGTACTGCAATGTCACTATTCCAGTAAGTATGCTCAATGAATAACCAATTCTGAATGGACCCCGAGGATAGAAATGTAGGAGCTATCATTGCTGACTTATTTTTGAAGGTACACGCCTTGGGGTTGTTATCCTTCTTTTATTATTTAGTGGGTCATTGCACTCAATTCCCAAGAAGAAGGATAATTATTAATATACAGGATTCATATAGCACCAACAGTTTGTGCAGCACTTTACAAAATGGAGGGAGACAACACAGTTTATACAATTTGAATACAGGAGGGATAGGAGGGCCCTGCTGGTGAGAGCTTACAATCTAGTAGGAGAGGATTTTTATTTTCAGCCGTGTGACTGTAAAAGTTTAAATATCTTTGGTCTTTGAAAATATCTGCCACTTTTTATAAAATAAAGATTCAAATAAGGATCCTTATCCTGGTGTGTTAGCTTTGTGAGTTGAGTCTGTTGTCTCTGAACAGTATATTAAATATATTAGGTGTTCTGTCATGCATGTTCCCGGTCATTTACTCACCAGTTAGTAAATGATGGGTAAGGATGACTTAAAATTGAAAAAAACAAGTCAGCACTAGCAAATGTTATATGTCTATCTTTTTAAGAACTACCTCTATTATAATTTTAACCAAATATTTCTTCACCACACCTATAAAAATATGCACAAACAATGAAGTTGGCCACTGGCCATTTTTCTGCCACGCTCTCTTTTATATTGTATCTTGATTACAGGTGCCCCAGTGTTGCAAAGGGTTCTATGGCCCAGAATGCAAACCCTGCCTAGGTGGTTTCACCAACCCATGCTCTGGAAATGGAGAGGTAAATATATTATATATACTGAAGAACAGATTCACAGTCATAGATTAAGGTGGAGCCTTAAAATGTTTTTCTTCATTTTGGATAGGGTGCAAGGCGGTAAGAACCTAAATGAGGTTCTAATGCTGCCCCATTCTGCTAAATGTTTTGTGTAGTTTATATTTCCTTCACTGACTGTCACATTGATCTGTATAAACTCAGGAAAGTATGGGAGGTCTAGCATAGGCAGCAATTATGCCTTACATAGGTTCTAATCCTTCTACAAATGTTTTTCTTGGAGTTCACTTTAAAGCAACCCAGTCATCATAAACTTTCTTATATAAATTTACTATACCGAAAAATGCAATTGAACATTACTTATTACTATGTATCCTCAGATTATTTTTCATAGGATTTTCAGCTGATATACGGCTGAAATCAGCCGTACCAGCCTGAAGTGAATATCCGAACAGTGTTTGGCTCACTTCACTTGGGGTCGGTTGTTCACTCGGCTGCCCTCGGCAGCTTAGTGAATAGACCCCATAGTTTTTCATAGTTTTCCCACTTACACCAGCATTTGTTTTTGCATTGTACAAACAATATTACCATTACTGTTAATTATTTGCCATTACAATTTGCTTTGCAGTTATGTATAAATATTGTGTTTGACAGTAAAAATATATTTTTTCTCTACATTAATTACCACCTTCTAGTGTATGGAAGGCATGACAGGGAATGGTACATGTGTTTGTGATGAAGCGTTCACTGGACCTGAATGTCGCCGTTGTATGGACAGCAACATGTATGGACCTCGATGTGATAAAAGTAAGATCAGGACTGTGACTATGAAACAGTTAATGATACTATTTATAATTATGTCATTGAAAATAGCTGTGTTTATCTAACAAAGTTATATGACTAAAGGCATACACAAGATGTACTACAGTTATTTTGCTAAGATTAGTACATTTTTGTACAGGAAAGAATTGTGCTATTTGCCATAGAGTTAGATTGGGGTTAGTAAAAGGATTTTTAAAGAAAGTTGTGATTGCTTCAAACATCCAATCAAGTTAAGGCAAATCTGTGGCTTTGTTTTATTTTTAGGAGCAAATGAACAATTTCTGTGGTAGTGTAGAAGATATACCCTTTATTACTACTTGCCCCCCGGAGCAATTTCTTAATTTTTGCACACACATGATAAAATCTGAATTTTGAATATATTACCCACATTTTTGGTAAAAAAATATAAAAAATGGGGTCACATCGGGTAAATAGATACCAAATATGTCAAGCCTTAAAATTGTGTGCACCCGTGTACATGATTTGACATGCAGTCGTCACTAAAGTTAACGTCCTCTTATGCGTTTGATTATCTGCTTAAATAAAGAAGACTTGTTGCACTCTTCGCCGGAAATCCCCGTATTCAGGGAAGGGTGCTTGGAATGACTGCGGAAGGCGTCACCATTTGCAAATAGTATAAGAGAAACGTCACCAGCACACCAAATTCCTCAAAGGATCATCAACCGTAGATTTATGGAAAACTCATGGCAAATACACAAGCACTTTCGGGGCCACTCGGGCATAGCAGTGACAGAATTACAAACAGTGAAGGTTTAAATAGACAGAGACAGTGAAGAAACACCCTTAAACACACCCCCCTGACGTCTCTATGATTGAAAAATGATTACCTATTTAGTTTGACTTTCTGATGTTAGTATCGAGTTTACAGTAATAATTAGGAAATCTCACATGTGCTTGACTTACATTTGTCAGATACTTTTTGCTATAAACCTGGCTACCACATATACAGTAAATAACTTTCTAGTAAAATGATGTTGGCCGGAACAGGTTAACAACTATTTTTGTTCAGATGTGTAACAAAGTACTGTATAAAATAACATGTTACTACTTAATAATAGAATACAATTTTATCTGGTTTTAGAATGTAACTGTCTCCATGGAAGGTGCAATAACTATATAGACAGTGATGGTAGCTGTTTGAGAGCATCATGTAAGAGTGGATATACAGGTAGATTCTGTGATTTGAAAACTACTCCATGCGGACCTCTTGTAACGTACTGCCACGCTCATGCTGACTGTGAATATAGCAAAAAGACACCCAGGTACTTTGCTTCACTATTGTACAACGCATAATATTACTTCAGATACTAAGTCACTCGCTTTGTTGTTACATTAGCCTGTTATCCCATGTGCTATCTAAGAAGCTGTCAAATCAATATATTAGTCTGAGTCCTTAAAGGAAAGTGTAATGTGTTTTCAGTGAGCACATATTGTGGGTTGCTATTGCAGGGTTTATTTTATCTTAATGTTCTATTTGACTTTGACATTTTAACAGGCTTTCTTTACCAATTATGGTTGTAGCATTAAATTTAGATATTTATACAGTTGCCACTAGAGGGAGATCTATATTTCACTGCAAGCACTCGGCATCCCTGCTTAGGAGCTGTTAAGAGTACTAGGTCAGCAGACTTAGAGACCTACTTTGTGAAAAGTAGCTGTAAAACACAAACACTGTATAGTGCTAAAAATGGAACACAGCCCTTGTATGTGATGAGCAAGTATGACTGCCCCCATGTATAAGTATAATTACAAACCGTAGATAGGAGCAAAGTTTTGAAAACATTAAGGACTTATGCACACTGGAATATGGAAATACTCAATGTATTACTCAGGATCTTGCTGGCAAAAGCCGTCAACAAGATCCTGCATAAAATGTAGCACATGCTCGCAATCATACATCATTAATGTAACCTATTTGCTGCTGTGGACCAACGTGTCAATATCAAAAACATTTCATATATGAATTCCTGAATGAATAGCTGTGGTCATTTTGTGCATGCGGAGCCACTGCTAAATTATGAGGGCCGACATGCATCCTTCGTTGATAGGATGGAGATGCCTTAAGCGGCCTAGTGCCCTTTGTTGGTAGGAAGGAGGTTACTCGCCCCTCTTAACATCCTTTGTTGCTAGGACGCAGGCAACTTGAGCTGCCTAGTGTCCTTTATTCCTAGTAAGCAGGCTCTTAGAGCTGCTTAGCAACCTTTGTTGCTAGGGAGCAGGCAGCTCAAGCTGCCTCGTGCCTTTTGCTGCTAGGACACAAGTGGCTCAAGCTGTCTAGTGTCCTTTGTTGCTAAGACCTGTGTGCCCTAGCAACTGTTAGGGTACAAATTCGCCATATACTATATGCATGTAAATGTAACACAAATGTTTATATGTATACAGAGTAAATAATGCTGAAATTTAGGACCCTCAACACAGCTCTGTCAAATTTGTTTGGTTTTTTTTAGAGCTGCGGGCATGAGCATATCATACAGCTGTGTTTTGAAAAAGTATACATTACTAATCTTAAGATATCGTATTTTAAACCCATATGCATGAGCCGTAACACAAAAAATACATAAAGACTATAAATAAAGACTATATATGCGCTTTAAAGTCTATCTGGTTTTGATTTTTTTTTTATGTCTGTCTTTCAGCTGTGTTTGTAAACCAGGATATGAAGGAGATGGGTTTCATTGTAGAGAAACAAATCCTTGCCTTGCTCCTGATAAGAAGCTTTGTAATGTTAATGTGAGTTCTGTTTTATTTCAGCTTTTACATTTAGGTCCTAATATACAACTTAAATTAACTGAATGTTGGAACTTGCTTTGTCTGTGGAGTAGCAGTGAGACTAACAGGGTTATTCACAAAAGGGTGATGCGTTTGGAGAAGGCAGGTGAAGTGAACAATCTAGGCCAAAATGGCTGACTTGGAAAACATTTCCAATTCAGCTCACTTTCCAGTTCTGCTATGTTGTCCTAGATTGTTCACTTCTCCTGCCATTTCCAAACTCTTCACCCTTTTTGAATAACCCTCTAAGTTAAAAGAGAGTGTCATAAAAAATCTTAACTCTTAGCTTGAGATGGGGCTGTGTTGCAGAATCTGAACCTCATTTCTGTGAACTGTGCAGAGATTAGCCGTGTCTTTAATAGCTTTGCTTTTGCTCACTTCTACTCTGTTTGTTCTCACAAAATATTATGGCAGAGGTAAGTAAAGTAGAAAAGGGGTTTATTTTTTAAAAATGTATAAAACTGTTCATCCTGCTAATTCAACTTTTATGGCCCCCAAACTGTCCATTCTATTAATAACCATATATGTCTATATTTTCATATTTTACCATCAGATAAACTACAGATCAGTGTGTGTTATGAAATTAGCTTTGGATAGACTCTAAACTTTACCACTCTGTGGGTTATCACTGCCTAAGAAGGGGTAATGCGTGTTTTAGGCCTCTGGACCTCCTAAAGCACTCATGTTTTAGTATGTACAGGTTTCATTTGAAGAGACACAGCTATATACATATTTAATAATAAGGTAGTACCCCCAGGTCTGGGATTATGAATATTGTGTTAGATTGGAAATTCTGTTTATTAGTTTTAGGAAGATACCAGTAAGGTTAAGAGTAAGGTTAAAACTTTTCTCAGGGTCCTGTTGCTGTCTTTGATTTAATGTCCTGGTGACACTCTTTCTTGCCCAAGTGTCACCAGAACATAAAGCGAAAATAAATTCCCCAGTGAAGTCACAGACAAGAAATCCAGTTGGCTCTGAGCCTTCCAATGACAACACTATAAAAATAATCTCAATGCTTAATGTAGACAATAATGACATTTTCATAGCTTGCAGAAGATGTGAGCACTCTCTTGACGCGACAATGTTGTATTCTCACAGGCTGAGTGCATTCCACTGGGGTCAGGAGCTTACAAATGTGTGTGCCGCCCAGGATGGACAGGAGACGGGCTGGACTGCTCAGAGATCAATAACTGCCTACTTGATAACAAAGGAGGATGCCATGCTAATGCCACCTGTGTCTATATTGGCCCTGGTCAGGTAACTATATAACAGTCAAGTGCCTGGATGACTTATATCGTGTGTTATAAAAAGAATCCTTTTTTTTATTTTTATGATTTTATTTTTGACTTAAAGAGGAACTATGGGGTTAGGGCTTTTCCCAATAGTTCTCCTTAGGGTAACGGGAGGACACAAACTAGCGTCCTCCCGTCACCCTAAGCTCAGTATACTGCGAGCTACAGCTCACTGTATACTGAGACGCCGCAGCTGAAGCGGATCCCGACAATTATGTCTGGATCCATCCAGCTGCATGCGTGACAGCCTATCTAGAGGCAGAGCCAGCTGTACCCGCCCCCTCCCCCGTCTGTTCAGCCATTTAGCGCTGTAGGATCGTAGCGGGGAGGGGGGAATACAGCCACTCCCCTGTCATGGCAGAGAGCCGTGACAGGATCGAGAAGTGAGCGAACGCCGGTATGTGTT